TGAGAAATCAAGAACAGACTTGAAATATCCTAATTAAAATACCAATAACAATGGACAGTTTTAAAATCGCAAGGAAAAATGTTAACTTTTTGTTTTATGGGAAATAAGTTTTTTTTCCTAAATTAACTCTCAAAAGAAGATTAAAATTTCCAAAATTGATTTTGATATTTTTTGCTCTACAAGGTAATGTACAGGTGTGTATACACAGACATGACAGAATTGAATAGACACTAAGATAAATTTTATTTCTGATTTTTTTTAATAACCAAGATAAATTAACTTAGATTATTTGATTAAAATTACAGATAACAATACTGAAACATGCCATGAACCAAAGGAGCATCAGACCTTTCCGAATTTCAGCGACAACATATCATGGGCCAACATGAAGGTGGTCTTAGTCAAAGAAAAATATCTGAAAATCTTTCAATACCCCTTTCTACTGTTAATAGAGTGATTGTACAATTCACCACAGAGGGCAAGAAGTGCACAAAACCTCATCCAGGCCGCCCTGGGCCCTCTGAAAGAACCATGCATCTTGTTGAAAGAAACGTTGAACAGGATCCATGTTGCAAGGCCTCTGACATAGCAACACAAGTTGATGTCAGTCCCAGAACAGCTGTCAAGTATCTTCACAAGCTGGGCTACTATGGCAGAGCTGCAAGAAGGAAACCACTTCTCCGTCCAGCTAATATCAAATGCAGAAAGGATTGGGCTCATGAGATGGTGGAGAGACCTATGACCTTTTGGACTACTGTCATTTTCCCTGATGAGTCAAGATTCGCATTATTTTCCGACAGTAGAAGAGTATGGGTATGGAGACACTGCAGTCAAGAGTTTGATTTAAAAAGACTGCAGCCAACGGTGAAACATGGGGGCCTTTCAGTAATGGTATGGGGGTGCAATTTGGAGTGATGGTCACTCAGAGCTTGTGGAGTGTGAAGGAAACATTAATTCAACCAAATGTTTCTATATTAAAGAAAGGGATCCTTCCAATATTCTCAAGTAGTAGAATGAGCAAAGTTGACACCCTATTTATGGAAGATGGAGCTCCATGTCACATTGCTCAAGATAAAATGGGATCAATAAACTTTCATGGCCAAGTCAGTCCCCAGATATTAACCCTATTGAACACCTTTGGGGCATATTAGATTGAAAACTCTGCAAAAAGAACAGGAAGCCATCTTCTAAGCCCGAACTTTTAGGATTATTGCATCAAACATGGCAAGAAATCCCTCAAGATGATATTCGGGAACTCATCGCTAGCATGCTTAGAAGGGTCCTTGCATTAAAAAAAGACAAAACGGATGTCAACCAAGTATTAGTTATTAAATTTATGACCATTTATAATTACTTCATTTGTATAAATTACTTGTTTAATAAAATAAATGGTTTCTGTGAGCATCTATTCAATTCTGCCATGTCTGCGTATATAGTTATGCAACAATTTGTTTAACCTACTGTATCTATATTTATATATGGATAAGAGGAAAATACTGAGAAATGTAAGAGCGTGTATGCAGAGAAGAGAAAGATGTAAAGATGATGTATTTGATGAAGATGAACCTGGAGAAGATCAACATGAGAAAAAAGACTGTTGAGAGAAAACTTTGTTTCATATATGAATGTAGAGACTTAAAAAATAAGGAACATTGATGCAAATGTGCACAAAGATGTAACAGAATGCACGGTAATGACATAAAGTAAGCAGTTAGGCAAATTTAAGTTGATTTTGTAAAAACACTAATACTTTTCTAATTTTACAGTTGAACTTTAAAAAAATTAATCTTGCTTTGTTAAAAAATGTTTTGCTTAAAGTGTGTAGAGAAACATTAATTGAACTGTTGAATTTAAGTTCTTAAAGATAAAAACATTGAAGTGGAAAAACTTGAGTGTTGCTGTGTGTGTGTGTGTGCATGGATATGGTAACTAAAATGTTTATAAATTTTATTAAGATATTTTTTTTGGGGGGGACATTAACTTTAATGAACAATGTGTTTTGTTCTATGATTTTCTGCCATCTTTTATGCAACTTCATAATTCCTACAACTCAAGGTGCTTTTGCAGAGAATTTAAATTACTTTCATCAAGAGAATTCTGTAACAATTAAAATAAATGGCAATCCAAAAGTGCAATATCTGGTAAATGTGGCAGATAAATTTGTTTGGCCACCAATGAAACAAGATTACTCCCTTCAATCTGATGATCTAATTAGAAACAGTACTCACTTGAATCAATCATTTAGAAGGAATTGCTAATAGAGGAATCCTTTCCAATATCACCATAGCAACAACTTTTTTGGATGAAGACCAAACTTTGGGATAATTAGTAATAGTTTATTTTGTTTGCCTCATAATCTCTTGCATTCCACATTATTGTAAACTATCCACTTTTCATCACCAGTAACAATTTGTTTTAAAATGAAATATTTGTGACATTTAAATTTATTTATGCTGGTCTTTACAGAACTCTCTAGATGGAAAAAAAATTCAATTTCCTGCAAGACTATAAAGGAAATTAGAGTATGTTTTACAAGAAAGATAAAAACTTTTAGGAGGATGGAAATATGAAGTTGCTTTAAACACAGCAGCAGGAAGTGGAATAAAAAAAAAATTATTTACATTGTTCAGACCATTGTCCCCATTTTTATTGTCATATTCATGACATTTCGGCCATTGTATGCTCCAGCCTTCTTCAGGTGATAACTGTTGGAGTTTTGAACCAAACCCTTTATTATGTCTACTGGGGTAGATTGTTCTAGTTCCACATGCCATACCGCTTTTGGATATCCTAGATTTCAGTTATTTCCATCAGTGATTCAACTTTCCAAGTTTTTTTTTCACCTCTGCTGTGGCCAGGTATTGAACTCACAACTCTTTGGGTCAAGTGACTGGATTACTTCAACCAATGCTTTTATCTACTGGGCTATGTGGACATAATGAAGGGTTTGGTTTGAAAATCCCAACGTATATCACCTGAAGAAAGCTGGAGCATACAATGACCAAAATCATTGTGAATATGATAATAAAAATGAGGATAACAGTCCAAACAATGTAAATAGTGTAAATAGTTACAAGACCTCATCTCAGAAATATAGACATAAGTTATTATCTATATACACTATTATGTATATATTCCAGATAGATGCGGAGATATATATGAATAGTTTTAAAACTATTAATTCCCTACTAAATATATTTGTGCACAGTGTAAATGTATCTATATATAATTGTTTATATAGTCTTGTTTTAAAACTCAAGATATATAACATATTTGTTTAATTTTTTAAAATTAAAAATGTAATGATGTTACAGCAACCCTAACCTCAACATGTCAAAATAAGACTTTATACTAGTTTTGAAAGTCTTTCAAAACCATATGCTCCAAACATGTGAAAGATGGTTTTACTTAGTTTAGTCTGGCACAAGGCTGTAAATTTGGATCTCACTATAGTCAATTTGTCATAAAGGTTAGTCCTTGATGTTATTGGTACAGAGAGGCAATCTCAACATGTGGCACCTTTGGAAAATGCCTGAAAACCATACCATTTTGACCCAAACCCTATGAGTGGAGTTGGGTAGATGGAACTGGTTGTTGAAACATTGTAAATATGGCAATACAGATGAGGACAATGGATAGATACAATAACTCATGTCAGAAATATAGACAGATGTTGAAGAAAATTTTGTTCAATAAAGTTAATATGGAAAATGGGAAATTAACTTTTTTTTATTTTTACTTAATAAATTATGGTTTTTGGCCAACCTAATAATATATTTTGGTTACAAATACTGAAAGACTTGTAGCTGTTTGCGACTTTGAAAGGAAGCACAGACTTTGAGACAAGAGAAATGTGTTGTGGTGAATGAGTAAAGGAGAGAGAGAGAGAGAAGTGGAGGAAATGATTTGGTGACATTTGAGACAGAGACATGATTACCTGCTCCTTCTTTTCCTTCTGCAGCATGGAAGTGAAAAACAATGTCAGAAAAAAAAAACAATTATATTGTAATCCTTGTGCAGACACAAATAAGACTGGTCACTTGTTAAGCAAAGTTCATTTTAGGCTAAGACATAAAACAAATAAATGGATGCAAAAGTTATCAGTTATTTGTGTCAAGCATTCTTGGAAAATGGATCAAGTGTTTTTCTTTAACATTTAGCACTCTGCATCATTTATAAATATTACTTCCCCTTTTACTGTACATGGAATCCACTCAAAATATAGTGTTTTATATATTAGTTCTATATATTTAGAATTGTAGTAGCCTGGCTCTCAATTTCAGTCAAAACTGTTTTAGGTGTAGTGATAGAAGGACTACACAATCAAGAAATTCAAATTCAACTTGCATTGACAGGACGAACATTTTTGCTTGTCACCTACAGAGTGCTAAAAGTTAATACAAGGATTAATCAAGATAAAAGGGTTGGATTGATCAGGAATGATGCATCATACTTTAGATAATATCAGCCTATAGATTTTATTGAATTATCATTAGCCATCAAATATGGTTTTGATATAACACAATAAATTACCTAATATAAAGTTATATAATAAACTATGATATGTAAAAAATCCTAATAAAGTTATATAATAAACTATGATATGTAAAAAAATCTTAATAAAGTTATATAGTAAACTATATGTAAAAAAATTCCTATATAAACTTGTATAATAAACTATATGTAAAAAAAAAAAAAATAAATAAAAAGTAAATAAATACACATCAAGCTTTGAAAGAAAAAAGATTATAATATTTAACAATATTATAAGCTTTTTACTTTCTATAGAAAAGGTTAAATGTGATTTATTATGCAAAGTCACTAAAAGAAAACTACATTTCAACAATTTTTGAAAATTGAATTCTGGGAAAAAAAAAACAAACTTTCTAACAGTATTATTGAACTGTCCATTTATGGCATAAGTGTAATGGACACTTTTTATTACAGGAAATTCACTTATTTCTTTAGCTGTTAAAAGAAGATTTAATGGTTTAACTTACCAGACGCTTCAGTCAACTCATTGATGAGAGTTGAAGGCAACAAAGCTTCCATCAGGTCATTGAAAAACCCTTTTAGGGCAGTGGCTACAGCATTCACTTGAATGTCTAAAGACTGGATGTCCACACTTGGATCTACAAAATAAGCACAATATGAGTTCACATTGGAAATATCCATGCTACAAACTTTCAATAAGAAAACCACACATGTACACACAATTTCAGATCATGATATAAATCCACAAATGACTATATTTGCAGATAGAAATAAAAAAAATCTAATTTGCTAAAAATATGTCATCAATACACAGCAACCATCATGTAATAAAGTACAATAAATTATTTAGTCAAGATATACAACAGCCATGATGAATTGACATTTAGAGTTTTCTATAATTCAAAATTTGATAATCAATTTATACAGTCAGTGGACATCAATGTAATTTGAAAAGACATATAACTTGAGTCAATCAGACATGTAAACAAACAAAAGAAAATTTAATTTACCAATGGCAGAACTAACATATTTCTGACATTTTAAGTAACCAAAATCTGAAAAGTCCCTGAATGACATTTAATTGTAAGCATTCAACTCACAACCACAACAAAAAGACATCGTAGGTAACAGCAGTTTATTAATAATATTTTATTGAGTGATTAGATTTTCTGCCTCAAGTGAATGCGTATTTTAGGAACAATTCAACATTTATATGAAGTGTCAAGAAAGATTTGTTGAATGTAAACTCAAGACAAAAACTATCTTTCTTCATATTTTTTGTGGGTTTAATTTCTTTCTTACTATCTAACTGTATGGATGTGCAATGTAATTTAGCAGTTATTGATGTGAGAAGTGGAATTGGTGTGTCAAGTTCAAATTACAGTGAAATTTGTTGCATTCACTTTCACACAAATGTCCTTGAGAAATTATAAAATATGAATCAATCTCTTCTCCTCCTCCAAGTTATGGGTTAAAGAGCAGGGTTGACTTGGCTCTCTAGCCTTGGTTGGCAATCAGTCAAGCAGAAGGACAACTCTGTTTTCAAAACCAATTGGGCATGGGACTTGAAAACTACCCCACCCACCTTCCCATAAAATCTTCCTACAAAAATCACAGTAGTAACACTGAGTTTGGTGAGGTAGTGGCACCCAACTGGGAGGGGTGCTAATGGTACTGAGGAGGGGGAGGAGGAGGCATTGTTTAGAAAGAAAGTAGCTTGATTTCTAATCATCATTTAAGACTATCCAGAAAAACATATTTGAACTTTGGGTTGAAGACAAAATCAATGTAGAGTGACAATTCTAAGACAAATATCTTTTTTTTTTGTTGCATGTTAGGCGATATCAGATAGAATAATGAGGTCAGCAATAAAAGTTGTGTCGATGAATTGATTAACTTATTGCTATCAGCTACTGACTGACAGATTTCAAAGAAATTATCTCTCTGATATTTTTAAACTTATGTAAATTGATAGGAAAAAGGTTTTCTTTACATTGCTTACTTCTCAGTCACTTTTTAACAATTTACTAAGAACATTTCAAAAGTTCTTGAAAAAAATTATTTCTAAAATTAGTCAAATCATTTATAGAAATGATTTTAAATGTTCTAATTTTCTTGTATCAAAAACTTTAAATTTAAAGCTAAAAAGGCAATAGTGAAAATACAAATTCATATTTAAATGTAGTAATTTGAATAGAAAACTTTTTCTAATTGATGTAGCTTCTTTTATGTTTAAAGTGATCCCAATTTCTCTTATTGAAGAAAAGCTGAAGGTTGATGTCAGATGTTTTGTAAGATGGATGTTAAAGTTTTGTCACTACACAGACTGTTTGCTTGTGACAGACTGTGATTTTCTGTGGTACAAAAAAAGAACACTTAGTATCCTATGGCTGAATATAATTATCGCTTTATTTAGACTGGTAAAAAAAAAAAAAGACAGGTAAAGTTGGTTCATTTCAAATTATCTGACCATTCAACAAGAATCCTGAATGTTTCATATCAGCCCCACCTGAAGTATTGTGTCCTTCCCATTCAAGAAATACACTACATATGTCTGAATGTCTTTTGACAGAATAGAATGTTTTCTATCAGCCCTACCTAAAGTATTGTGTCCTCCTCATTTCTGTTACAGAATATGTCCTCTGAATAATATACACTACATATGCCTGAATGTCTTTTGACAGAATAGAATGTGGTTGAAGAGGGAGAAAAATTACCTTCTTGAAATTTAGTTAGTAACAGTTCTACTTGGGCACGGTTTCCTGGGACTCGGTAGATACCTTCTGCAGTCAGACCTGAAAGTAATAGGCAAACATTAAGATAGCAGAGGAAAAAAATATGTGAATAATAAATTATTTAATGAAATTATCTTACTGGATAATTGTTGGAACTGATGTTAACAATTCTAAAACTGAAAAATGTATTATTAGAGGAAAAAAATGTGAAATTTAAATATAGACCAATGAAAGAGTTTTTTTTTTTTCATAGACAAATTTAATATAAAAATTATTCCTTCCTTGGATAAAACAATGAATGATTAGGTTGATGCAAACATTCCATCTTTTGTATAATGTTAGGAAAATCTATAAAGTGTCTTTGAAGGTTATTCAGCTCTTTTATTGTTTGCATAATCAGTCAGTTCCATATGAACATGGAAATAAAAACATCAGTCAGCTTTGAAAAGGTTTCTTTCCCTTCTTGTCCAACACAGAATAAAGTCATTCTTGAATATGTTAGTGACTGGAGATAAAAAAATAGTCATTTCTTTGTTTTTTTTTTCTTTTCTTTTTTGCAAGAATCCAAAATGAAGAAAATCATGTTGAAATTCAGGACAGCTTCCAGACTGTCAACTTAAACAGAATCAATTGAATGGGAAAAAAGAATCCAAAGGAATTTTTTTATTACAAATTAATGCAACTTGGACAAAGTGTTTTTGCAATTGGCTCATTTGAATGATTCATTGGAATAGAAAAGAACTTTTCATGGCTATGAGAGTTAATGCAATGTAGTAAATGATCATGGAGCTAGAATATGGAGTTCTTTAAAATATGGTGTATTATTCCTTAGACCTATCACCAACAAATTTGTTTCATTCCATACAATATTCCTTGTCTAGTCAGTGATTCCAAAAATTTCAGCTAATAACTGTGTCAGACTACAGACCTATTTTTAATCACTGAATATATATAAAATGTGTGTGTGTGTGTGTGTGTTGGTTATAAATGGGGAAGAAAAAGTAGATGGCTGATTTTAAAATACAAAATTTAAAATAAACTCAGCTCATACATAACTTTATTTGTTAAAACAAGCATTCTCAGAAAGTGATAGAATGGCAGTAAATTTATTGAGAGAAAAGTGGTAATTGATAAAGAATACATCTGTTGAATAGACAGAGTGTGGCAGAACCTTGATGATTGATTCTATTGGTTTGTGAAGTATGAGGTCTTGCATTATCCTGCATGCAAGCTAATGATCATTAATCAAATCATGAGCTTCTCACTTTTGTTTCTTCTTCACTTTGCCAATTGGGGGTCAGATGTTTTCTGATTGTTGTAAGGTCTACCCTCAGCTTTGATTCTAATGCTCAAGTGTTTGTTTCTAGATGAGCCTCTACTGCTGCCCTCAGCTCTTTGTTGTAAGGTAAAAAAATTATGGCCACAACTAGATTCAAGACAAATTTTTGAAATCAAGGAAGTACACTTGATTCTGAAGATGATTTCAGTCCACAAGCCCAATTGATATTGTATGGTGGTTCTATCTGTGCAAGGACAAAGTCTATGATCATGGAGCATAAAGGCATGAGAATTGCTTTTACTTATCTTTGCTTTGATAACCAATTAAAAAAAATACAATAAAAAATAAAAGTAATCAACAAATTCAAGCAACAACACAAAAGAGGAATCCACAAAGCTTTTGATTGATATATAAATAATCAGAATCAGAAGGGGGTCAATAAAAAAAAAAAAGATAAAAAAAAATAAAAAAAATGAAAAAAAAAAAAAAAAATAATAAAGAAGGTAAGAACAACTATTTACTTTGTTTCAACCTAATATTTAAAAATCACAAACACCTATTTGCATAGGAGAGCTAGGAAAAAAAAAAAAAAAAAGAAAGAACAGAAAAAGAGTTAATTTTTGTTCACTTACCTTCTTCTTCGATAAACTGTACACATTTTTCTACAAACAAAGGAACTCTAGGATACCTTGGAGACATTGTATAATCTTCCAATACAGACCCACTTTGTGAAGCACTGGAAACTTTACCATCTTTTTTCTTGATCTTCTTTTGCAACTTTTGTTGCTCTTTCAGTTTCTTCTCCTAAAATTATAAAAAAAAAAAACAAAATGGAGATATATTTTTTCACAGAATAATTCATGTTAATTAAAAATAAAATATATATATATATATATTTTTTTTTTTTTTTTTTTTTAGAATTTTATATATCTATCAAATGAAGCATCTTTTTTTTTTATTTATTTGCTGTTTTTATATATGTCCATTTTAATATTCTGGCCAGTTTTACAAGGTTTCATATTTAAAAAAAAAAAAAACATCTTCATTTCACCAAGAAGAAAAAACATGCACAGCTGACACTATTTACATTATTCAGACTATTGTCCTCATCTTTGCCGCCATATTTATTACAACGTTTCGGCTGTTGTACGCTCCGGCATTCTTCAGGTGGTTCGAATGTCTAACTGAACCCTTTATTTCACTCACTGGATTAGACTGTTCTAATTCCACGTGCCATGTTTAATGGATGTCAGTTGTCAGTTATCTCCTGTTAATTACCCTCTGCAAGTTCTCCACTGCCTTAACTGGGTATTGAACTCACACTCTTTGGGTCCTGTCACCCGGATCTAACCAACACCTTTATCCACTGTGCCATGTGTCCTTGATATTGACAGATACACAGCTGAATTTCAATAACCATGAAAATCATTGTAAGATAGTATTTACCCTGTTTAGTATGGCTTATGATAAACCCTCTTTGATATTTAGTACTTCTTATGTTAACATTCTTTATAATGAAAAGAAATAATCAAAATGGTTATCATTATAAAGATAATAATATAAATATTAAAAGTCAATATGAGGAATGCTATTATATTATTTCTACTTTAGAAAATTGATGAAAGCTTCAAATTTTTTTATTTCATCATAAAAAGAGAAATATTCTTAGATATTTTGGAAGTGTGAACCCTAAAGAAAACAATCATAGCTAATGCTGTACATGTCTATTCTAATAAAAAAAGTTCTGAAGAGAATTACTGAATATGAAAAACAAAATAGTGTATATGGGCTGATATCTGAATTAAAAATTCACTCCAGTAATTCATGAAGTTCTCAAAGGAAAAACAAAACAAGCAACCAGCAAACCCACTAAAAGGAGGGTGGTATAAATTTAACCCTCAATTTTATGAGGGTGTGTGTGTGTGTGTGCTAAGAGTGTAATTACTGTTGATCCTGTTTAAAGTTGTCTCTTATGTGTGCAGCTAAAACACACACTTCATAAACAAATTCATTTCTACTGTCATTATAATGGAAACAAGGTGTTTGGTTTCCATTTCTGGAATTTTATCTTTTTACCAGTTATTTTTTACCACTTATGACTTACTTTCAAATATATATATATATATATATAGCTTAAAGTTCCTAACCTCTTCTTTTTGTCGTCTCTTCTCCTCTTTCTTTTTGGCTCTGTCTGTTGTACTGTCTTTGTGACGGATTTTAACATTAAACATATCCTTCCAATTGCCACTGTCAGTCAGATCTCCATATTCATCCACTAAGGTGCCATACTAAAAATAAATAAAAATTAACAGAAAAAAAAAATAAGCCTCCAAAAACAGTAGATAGTGTGTGTTTTTGTTAAATTAGTCGTGTTAGCAAATCTAAAATGATACAAACTCAAACCTTTGTACAAGAATTTAGGTGTAATAATAAGAGAAAAATATTTGACAATAATTTTTTTTTCAGGAACAGATATAATTGTGGTAAGTATTTCAATATTGATTATTTATGAAAAAAAAATTTAAGTAAACCAATGAATCAAATTTTTGAAAGGAGATACAAATATTCTACTGGATATCAAAAGAGACTGAACTCTTTTCAAAATAGATTAAATCTCAATTGAGAAGAAGCTTGGCTCCAATGAACAGAAGAAAGATCTTTGACATATAAATCATAATGCTTTGCAGATTTGAGCTTAGATCACTTTGATACTCTTAGAAAAATTCACTGGCTACCCATATGTGTTTCTAGTGTACAAATATTCTTATTAATCCAATAGTTAATCTTTTGTTTGGTATTCTTTTGAAATTAAAAAAAAAAAAAAGTCCATTTTTTTTTGTATTTTCTTTTAACTAATTTCTGCATCTTTATTGTCATGCTACTCCAATGTTTTAGCTGCTGTATCTTCAAGGCCTTCTTCAGAAGTCAAGGAGGATCAAACTGAATCAAATACAATAACAGATTGAGACAGAATTTGTTTTATTAATGATTTAAAATCCTTTCTACATTCTTTTTCTTCATATTTTTTCCAAAACTGTAAGGATACAGTTTCTCTTATGATAATAAAATTTATATTTACATGTGGTCAAGTGATATTGGTTTGTAACTATGTAAATTATCAAATAAATAAATTAAATAAAATAGAAACTACTTCAAGTTATTGATGATTAAATAATATTAAAGCATCAAACTAGCAAAAACTATTACTTGAATTCAGTTCATGTATTTTAAAGGTTGAATGAATAAAATTCCAACAATAGTGACAAGAACAGGATTATTATTATTATTATTATGTTTCTTACCTTTGAAAGGGTACTTGAACTATATTCAACTCTGGGACTAATGGTCTCATAGGGATTTTCCTCAAAGTTACGATCTGTGAAGGCAACATAAAGAATTAACAAATACCACAAACATAAAAACAATAACAACAATAATAATAAATGGACTTAATCACAGTAATATATACCTGTGATGAAGGCGATCATAGTTACCTCCCCTTTGAACTACTCAACTATAAAAGAAATGGTTAAATCTCACTTATGGGAGGCAGATAAGTTACATTAAATAAAGCTTCACTACAAACTTAAATGTTTGTCTGTTTTTCTTTGCAATACTCTTGAATGAAAAGCAATAAAATCCCTACTATTGGTGAAAAATGGTAACAAGTTACTGACATTTCAAGAGGAGAATGATACGATAAATAAAATCAATGATGCTACAATTTCTTTTTTACGTGACAAGAGCATGATCCCCCTCCCTTTCAGGAAATGACAATTGTATCAGGATAAGAAATAAAAAACAAAAAAAAACACACCAATTTGACAGATAATTCCAAGGAGGAAAATAATTTGAAAGAAGAAAAAAAGAATAAAAAGAAACTGATTATTTTGTACTTGACAATCATCACAATATATATTCTCAGGGTTTATCATAAATATAATTTTATTTGTACTTTACAAAAATGAAATGTTTCAAGCATATTTTAGGCAGTGACATGTAATTAGTTTTGTATAACAATTTATATTCAGACCTTTTATTTGCTTTTCTCTAAACAATGAGAAAATTATCAGTTTTAGTTAGTATTAAAGTGTATCAAAAGTATTTTCATTTTTATTAGACCTTGACTCCAAAACTTATTTCATGTATACACCTGAAGTACATCTACTATATTATTCATTATTATGACTCCACTATATTATTCATATTATTATTATATATACATCATGTCATTATCACTATTAGGTTATACCTTTCATTTTAAATGTCATATTAACCATGAATACAGTTTTTGAGATTCTGGCAATTTTGAGGTATCTGGGCCTCAAAGCCAGAGAAGCTGTTTGCAGAATTTGAAAAGCAGAAGGATAGGAACTAATATCTGCACAAAATTAGTTGAAGCATTTTAAAGATGGTGAGTCATTTTTTGAAATAAAGACCAAAGATGAAGTAAAATTAAATTTTTGATTATGATGCTTTAAAAAGAATATGGTAGAGAACTTGACAACTAGCACTGAAAAACTTTCAAGAGAACTAAGAGAATTGAAAGATTCCATATATAAAACAGCTCAAAAAAAAAAAAAAAAAAAACTCAAAATGTTCACTAAAAATTGGAAAACAAAAATACTTTTGATATACCATCCCCTGCCCATATTTCTTTCAAAAGAAATTCTTAATATTCAGTCTTTCACAATTTATGATGACATTTGATACAATAAAGAATTTAATTCCACTAATACAAAACTTTTAAAGGTTATTTAAAAGATAGCTAAACAAATTTATTTGTAGAAATGATATCAGTTTTTACATGTAGTGTTTTATGTAATTGGCAATACTAAATAAAATATGGGTGTAATGATTTTACAAAGACTTAAAAAAAAAAAAAAATGAACTTTTTCATCATCCTTTAACTTTTGAAAAATTAACAACGAAAATCACAATTTTATTTTCATTTTCTCATAAATAATCATAAAAAATAATACAAGGCAACTTATGTTGTGTTTAATATTAAAAGAGTCTCAGTAATTAAAAATTTAATTTTAAAATTGTAAAAAATATATAGCCCATGATACACATAAACATACACACATTTTTATATTAAAAGTTAATAAGATTACTGAAGAGAAAGATAGTATTTTCATATAGAGGAAATACTAAACACATTCACAGAGAGAAGACAAATTTTATAAAAGTGAAAAATAAGTACAAATCTGTTTATGCCAGTCACAATCTAAATTATATCAAAAGACTTCAATACATATATTAAACAGAAGTGACTGTTGAGAGATGTAGCTACACAGTCTTACCTAATAGGAAAAAATAACCAATAAAAAATATTATTATTTATACATACCAAACAAAAATCATTATTTAAAATTTAATTCTTGAGTTTTTATGATTCTAAATGGAAAACCAACACTTTTATTAGAATTACCAACTGCCTTTCTGTATTTCTTTTCCAGTATGGAGCAACTAGCAGCAATTTAGGGATATTTTCTCTCTCTTTCTCACTATATATATATATATATATATATATATATATATATACACACACACACATACATACACACACACACACACACACGCCAACCCATATTACTCATCAGTTGAATACTTAGTAATTTACTATCAAAACAAAGCATAATAGAGAGATCACCCATGTTTTTTTTTTCTAGTTAGTGTGTTTGTTTTTCTTGATAAAAATTGGCATCAACAGATATTAACTTTCTAAGTGATGCCATAGAAAATTTCAGGTCTTTAAGTACAATGTAAACAGACAGGGGAAAAATAAATTTAAAAAATACATGACATAATGGGTGAAAGTGTTTAGACAATTTTCATGGCAAGTGAGAATTGCTACATTTGATTTTCAGTAATGTGAATTAAACTGTTAAAATTGAAGATATATATGTGTGTGTGTGTGTGTGTGTATATATATATATATATATATATATATATACATAAAGGGTGTTCCAATAATTTGGACCAATTTTAAACTTAATTTGCATTCAAAATCAGTCCAAGTTATTAAGCAAGAGAGAAGATATCAGTAATACAATAAAAAATAAAAAAAAGTGTTAAACTTTTGTCAAGAAAAGTCTGTCCTATGTGTAGAATGCAAATGATACTAACGATAATAATAATAATAATGATGAAATGAGGATATTGTCCTCTTTATGTGAGTAAGTGGAAATATGTGCCTATAAGAAAGTCACAATGTAACTAGAGACCTGCAAATTCCAGTTTATCCCTTGATGTGAATAAAGAATAAATTATCACTTTTGAGAAACATCATAATCAACAAAGTGTGATATTTTTAATACAAATATTTCAAAACTAAAATCTTAATAAATTCATATTAATAATGCTTGATTTTATGGTAGCATATACCTTGTAAATATTCCTGCTAAGTAGTAGAAAGAATTTTATAAAGTTTAAATTAAATGCTACAGGTGTTTTATTTTTGGGGTTTCTTCAAAATTCTATTTTTTGTCATGTGAAAATTATCTTGTTATATTAATAATCACCAGCTTTGTATAATAGATAGTCCTCCATCCCATGAACTACGAGTTCGATGCTCTGCCAATAATGTACGACCCATGTAACCATTTTTAATAAAATTATTAGTTCAGATGAATAATATATATTCATTTATTATGAAAAAGAATATTGTAATTAATTTCAATATTATAATTATTCATTGTGTGTGTGTGTGTGTGCGCGTGTGTATATAAAGGTAAAAGACAATAGGAAAACTAATATTAGCTGACGCATTTCATCCAATGTGGATTTTTTCAAGGCAAAAACGAAATTAATTTATTGAAAATAAAGTAACTATTAACAGTAAACAAAATGTCTTTAGCAACTAGAACAATTTAGAAAATGCCATTGTATTGATATTATCAAATGAAAATTACATCAAGTACTTTCACATGTAGAAATATTGTTTTTATTGTTGTGTTGACAGATTCAACCATTTTCTTTTGATTTCTTGATATAGCTGTGTACGTTGGCTTGGGAAAGTAGTAATTCTGTTAGGAAAGGTGATACTGAGAAGAAACTTGGGCATAGATTAATATTTGGATAATATTCAATGGTGGCACTCCTGAGGATTTTCCTTCTGAGTGAGTTATTTTCTTTTTTTTATGAGTGTAGCATTTTTAAAATCAAAATTGTGGTTGAATTTATTTCTATGTATGACTAGTGCATTAGTTATTTTTTGTGAGGTCTCTTTTGTGCTCATAGATGTGTTTTTTTAAATTTCTGCTTGTTTCTCCAATATATTGTTAATTTTTACTTTGTTATCAATATTTTCATTTTAGTTTTTGCCTTTAAAATGTTCACATTGGCTCAATGTGTTGACTAATAATACAGTTTTCCTATTGTATTTTACCTTTATACATATTGTCTTTTTCTACAGGTTAACTCTGAGAAATTATATATATATATATATATATATATATATATATATATATATATATAATCACTTTAAACATTATTTTTAGTGGATACTCATCTTTGAATAGGCGTTCTGTTTATTTGTTAAAGCATACATTTATTTATTTATGTCTACCGGTCTGAATGCCTGAGAAAACTTATTAAAGAAAAATTTGCACTCTCTGGCAGGATTTGAACCTGCATCCCTGAGGGCAGGGAAAGCTACTGTTAAGCCCAGCATGCTATAACCATAATAATGGAAACACACACACACATAAAATTAACTGTCTTTATTTAATATCAGATTTAAAAAAAAAATATATAAATAGACTTTGAGCAGGGACTTACCTATAAGGTACACTTCTGCCCAATTCCCTATATATATATATATATATATATATATATACATACATACATACACACACACGTGTGTGTGTGTGTGTTTACATATATGCACATATGTTAAATAAGAAATAAATGTTAAAATGAATGCACAAATGTAGGTATATATGTATATATTTAAGGGATGATTGTGAACAAAAATCAACTGTTATATCACAATAATAATCGATGCAATACATGAATTAATGATTATTAATCTTTATATTTTTTTAGAAAGACAATAAAATGGCAAAAATTATAAACACTCCAACATAGATATTTGTTCATAGGATGAAAAAAATCCATTATAATGAATATAGATGATAAGCAAAAATATTGGACAGTGACAATAACAACAGCAATAACAAAGACAAAATATATTCAATACCCCCACCCCTCCAAAAAATTGAGACAAATAAGAAAAAAAATCCCCCAAAAAATCTAAGCATTTTAAGTTCCAGCCAAGATAGATATCATGCAGCAGAAGCAGCAGCATGAAGAGAGAGAGAGAGAGAGAGTGGAAATAATAATATAGAGTTAGGGTGAGAGAGAAAGAAATAGAATGATATAGAGGAGGGATGAGAGGGAAAGAAAGAGAATGATATAGAGGAGGGATGAGAGGGAAAGAAATAGAATGATATAGAGGAGGGATGAGAGGGAAAGAAAGAGAATGATATAGAGTAAGGTAAGAGGGAGAGTAATATAAAAACGTGTGTGTATGTTTGTATAAAAAAAGTGTTAGAGTTGAGAAAACATTAAGCTGACCAATAAGAACAAGCAACAAGGCCAACATACAAATAAAAATATAAAATAAGAACATGCAGTGAGATAGACATTTTGAAATACTTAGTTAATGTGGATTGTACAAATATATAGAGAATCAGGTAAATGCAAATCAGATTCCAAATATTTGGGTGCTTTTCTGATACACCTGGAATGAGGGTCTACTATTCATCAACAGTGAATAAAAAAAACTTAACAACAATACAATCACATTGTAGACACAGCCACTGATACAGGTCATGAAACTTTTTACTCCACAAAAATTAGGCACAAGACAATAGAAATAAAAGGCTGATATTCACACAGTGACAAGATTTATTGATAAATTAACAAAATGTATTTTTTGTTTGATAAGCCATCATAAAACATTTAGTAAAATTTGTTTTTGAACTATTGTACTCACCCTAAAATTGAAATTTACAGTATGCAGATTTTGGATTATTTTCTTTTATGATCAAGTTTTTTTTGTTAGGCATTGACTCAATATGCCAGATAAATTTAATAAGTAATGATTCAAAAAATATTAGGAATATCAAGTTCACTTTAGAATATTTGTTTCTGATGAAACAATCAGATTTTACAAAATGTAAGTTTAAATGAAAATACAAAAAGACATTAGCAGCAAAATTAAAAAGACACAGTTAATTTTAAATATGATTTTCCACAATAACTATATAATGAATTAACATTAGGAAAAGGATTAACTACAGGATTAATATCTTCATCTTTTAGATCACAAAGTGAGAAGTAAGGCAGAATAACAACTAATAATATATGACCTTTATCAGCAACAGAAACATGAAATTTTTAAAAGCAAACAATTATTCCCAGATAAATATTTCACTATCTATTTTTATATATATATATATATATATATATATATATATATATATATATATATATATATATATATATATATATATATATATTACTTTAGAAATCAATTGTAAGAACAATTCAATAAAAATATAAAATTAAGCTGATGGATCATTCTCTTGATTTGGTGGAACAGTTAACCATAACTCTCAGGGTTCAAATCCCAGAGCAGGTAGGCATTACTATTTACTCTTAATATATTTTCTATTATTTCTTTCAATGTTAACATTCATAAAATTATCTTCATTGATTTCGGCCAATAAGTTCTCTGACCATCTTCAAGTGACATGTTACCAAGGCCAATTAATTATAAATGTAAACATTCAAAAAGCTTTTTCAGTTATAATCAATGATCTTTTTCCAGTGTTATATATTTGATATATTTAATGATACCAGATGACACCCACAAAAAGAAAAACAAAAAAAAAAACACAATTTTGTATGTAAAAGTCAAATTTGATTTTTTAGAAATTTTGTACCACTAGTAAAAGGAAAAATTGTTGAAAATATTGGTATAGAAAATTAAAAGAAAAATATTATTTGTTTGGCATTTCTTTAGTTATATTAAATGACAAGCTAGAGTTATGATATATAGAAAAATATATTTCCATGAATAGTCTTTTTTACAGAGATTTGCCAGAATATTTGAAACAATTTTTCACTCTTCCATTCATTTATTTAGCTATTTTTGATTAAATTATGTTCTTACACCTAATTTTGGAAGGTTTTTATTCAAAAGAATTTTAACAATTAAACAAAAAACACATAATTGATGCAATTATTGATAGAAATGTTTTTTACTGACTTTTAAAATTGCTAAAATCAAGTAAGTATGAAATCATGAAAAAATATTCTTGAAAAACCCCAGAATTTTCATTTTTTTTCCCAACAATATTAATAAAAACAATTAATTTGTAATTATTTTTTAAAAGGCAGGATGTCATCTAATGTCGAATTCTTTGTAGAGATTGGTTAGTATCTTACACATGTTAACCAATCTTCTTCATTCATGAAAAAGATTAGAGATTGCCAGTTGAAATCTAGGAGACTTACAAGTAAATATCTGACTGATAAATATTTCAGCCATTTTAATCATTTCACTTACTGAGAGTAAGATTTCTTTATAAACTGTGATTTGTGATCAAGTAAAAATGATAGTAAAAAGATGAGGATATTAGTTTGAAACAAATTTCTAATACACTGTGTCACAATATTCAAATTTTTCTATAATTCTCATGCTGATAAGGGGGTAGACGATAAAGAATTGGAAATGCCAGTCAAAGAAATAAATTCAAGGCAGGATGAGATAATCAGATATTTAGATTCTACAGCTATCTTCCAAGCTTGTCTTGTAGTTGCATCTCAGAAAATGTATCAGTAACAAAAATAAGTTTATCAGTAAAACAAATAATACCTTAAGTGAAATAAACAACTGGTTATTTTACAATATTTATATGCAGACTAATATCCTCATCTTTGTTGTTGTTATTATCACAATGTGTTGTCATTGTGCCTTCCAACTTTCATCAGGTACCTGCCAATCCATCAAAATTCCTTGAAGATTACCCAGATCAGAAAGTACTTAATGAAAGTTGGGGAGGGGTTTCACAACTGCTGAAATGTTATGATAATGGCAACAAAAATGTGGACAATAGTCTGATTGTAAATAATGATAATTCCTCATTCCAGAAATTCAGACTGGGAAATGGTTAATATTTTTCTGTTTTTTATAGCAATAATGATTTAATTCATACTAATCTCATTTAAATTATTTCACATAAACTTTAATGGTGTATAATTTCATTAAATTTAGTGCAGTTACAGATAGTTTCAATAAGTTGAGAATGATTTTGAATATTATTTTCATTGTAATCAAGTATTAATAAAGAGACCCTCAGTTTTTTCCTGAAATTGAAGGATTGAGTTTGCAAATAAAGATCGTTTTATAGGCAAAGATATCAGTTTAATTGTAACTAGCTTCTTGCCTTTCTCTGAAATTATTTTCAACTACAGATAGGCCTTTTTTAATATAAAAAATAAAATCTTTACATTCATCGATGTCCACTTGCTACGAATATCTAGTTATCTATTTTCACTTATATATGATAAAAATATAGTTTTAAGGTATGCTATATTTATAGGCAAAAGTGCTCAATATCAGAGATAGAGCTTATGTTAATATAAAAGTAGGCACCGAGGCCAACACCGAGTGGTGACAGTCTGTTTCATGCTCAACTCAATCTTCAGGCCTACACACACATATATATATATATATATATATATAGGCTGGGCATGTTGCAAGGATGAATGACAACAGAATACCTAAGGACCTCATGTATAGCCAGCTTCACAGTAGACAAAGGATTGTTGGACAGCCATGGCTCAGGTATCAAGACAGGCTAAAGAGAAACCTCTCAACTGTCAATGTGCCTCATACTAACTTCAAGTGAGTTGCCCAGGGTAGAAATAACTGGAGATATTTGTGCCAGGTTAGTATCAGAAATTTCAAAATCAGTCATATTGACTGGCTAAGAGATGAAAGACATTGGCGAAAAGTGTCATCAAATATTCCTGTTGCTATGTCATGGGATCCTTACTGTTGCACAATATTTGGACTTGTATGCAAGTCACTAGCAGGACTGAAGTGTCACATACGATACAAACATTAAAAACTGAATGAAGTTGTTGGGTACTCATATGTCAAAATCAACAGGAGAGGCCATCATAAAAATAAACCTTACTGTGAATGTGTAGCCACATTCAAAATAAACATCACATTAGTCCAGTTAAGTCCTAAAGGATGAAACACATAACACAAAATCTTTTTCTATATTGTCATAGATTTCCCTAATATATATATATATATATATATATATATATATGTATGTATGTATGTATATATAAGCAGTGTTAATTTTTGTCTATATTTCTGAGATGAAGTATTGTAATTATTTACATTATTTATATTGTTCCGACTGTTGTCCTCATCTTTATTGTCATGTTCATGATGTTTCAGCTGTTGTACACTCTGGCCTTCTTCAGGTGATTGGAATTTCAAACTGAACCCTTTATTTCGTCCACTAGGGTAGATTGTTCTAGTTCCACATGCCATGCCTCTTCTGGATGTCTCATTTATTTCCCTTTAACTCAACTTTCCAAGTTTTTGTTCACCCCTGCCATAGCCAGGTACTGAACTCACAACTCTTTGCATCAAGTCACTGGATCCAACCAATCCTTTCATCTATTGGGCTATGTGTTCTTGAAGAAGTATGGCACATAGAACTAGAACAATCTACCCCAGTGAATGAAATAAATGATTCAGTTTGCAATTCTAATCACCTGAAGAAGGCTAGAGTGTACAATGGCCAAAAACTTTTGAACAGGACAATAAAGATGAGGACAACAGTCCGAACAGTGTTAATTTTTGTATTTTAGATTTTGAGATTTCCCAAATAGGATAAATCAGGTCCATTTTGACTTGAGATATAATTTTACTTTGGGTAAATATAGATGCAAATCTATATGAATTCAGGTCCTAGAGAAATATAAACAGATACGAGTTTTTGGTTTTGTTTTTCTCAGTGAGAAATAACTGAGTGTAATTCCCTAGAAGCTAAAACATTTTCTTTATTTCTAAATCAATATGATGACATGTGAGCCTGTAAATTCCCTTTAATAACTTTATTATCATCTCCATAAAGTAGAAATAAAAAGTAGTTTGTATGTGAATCTTAATTAAATGGTTCTCTATATAATAGGCACAAAGTACACAGAAATACTTTCTTCTATTACTTTGATGTCATCAAAATTATATTACTTTGATGTCACCAAAATTATATTAGATTCATAAAGGACACATCTAGATTGATATAGAAATCAGAAGAGGAATCTTCATTAAAAGTGAAATATTTTATGAAAAGTTGAAATAGCATCAACACAATCTTCCAGCTATGAATGATTTAGTAGGAGTGATAATGTTGAAAAAGTAATCAAATTTATTGTCATTTTTCACTATCTTTTTTTTTAAGCCAGCAAAAAATAGTAATAGTACCTTCCTTTTTTTTTATTGGGATGAGAGTTAATGAAATGTAAACAACTGATCATAATTAAAAATATTTTAATAATAATATATATATAAAAATTTGATTGAATATATATATATATATATATATATATATATATATATATATATATATATATATATATATATATGAGATGAGGCATTATGATTATTTACATTATTTGAACTGTTATCCTTATCTTCATTGCCATATTCAAAACGTTTTGGCTGTTGTATGCTCCGGCCTTCTTCAGGTGATTGGAATTTTGAACCAAACCCTTTATTTCGTCCACCGGGGTAGACTGTTCTAGTTCCATGCGCCATGCTTCTTCCCGATGTCTTAGTTATTTACCTTTAATTCAACTCTCCAAGATTTTGTTCACCACTGCTGTGGCCTGGTATTGAACTCACAACTTTTTGGGTCTAGTCACTGGATCTAACCAACATATTTATACACTGGTGAACCAAACCTAGGAGAGTTGAGTTTAAAGGAAAATAACTGAGACATCCAGAAAAGACATGGAACTAGAGTTTGGTTTGAAATTCTAATCACCTGAAAAAGCCTGGCGTGTACAACGGCTGAAACATTCTGAATATGGCAATGAAGATGAGGATAACAGTCCAAATAATATATATATCTAACAAAATGCAACCATAGTTGGCAAATTACAACTGTGATAAAGCTGGTAATTAAAAGTGCTTAATACAAAGTAGAGCCTATAGAATGTAAGATAAAAAATAAGAAATAAAACTGAGCCAACTAAAGTTTCACCTTCAAAATTGAAGGATCATCAGGCCAGGTTCAATAATGATAAAAATTGAACTTGTATTGATGATCCTTGAGCATTTTCAGATTTTTTTCTTCTTCTACAATTATCTCCCATATATATATATATATATATATATATATATATATATATATATATATCAATCAGTGGAGAATTTTCTAGCTTATGGAATTGATAATTTTTTTTCTTTTATGATGAAAATAGAATAAATATGACAATGTCTTGTATAAATGAAAGTGAATGATGAGCAAAAATGTAGTTAACAGCTTCAATGTTGTACACAGGGATGAACAGTATTGTGGTGTGTGTGTGTGTGTGTGTGTGTGTTATAAAGGTGTTGAAGTACTTACTGGGAGGTGAGCCTACGTTATCACTGTCAGACAGCGGTGGACTAATGGTGCAAGTGCTGCTCTCCATGGTAGGAGAGGAACGACATTTCTTTTTAAATGAACGGGGTTTTCTTCTAAGGAGTAGCTCATCACCTGTGCCCTCACTGCCTTCTGAAGGCGACTGGCTGCGAACTGGTGGGGAAGAAGAAAAAAAAAAAAAGATATATGTGTAAGACTTACCTGGAGCAACTAGTGATCTACAACACACACAAGTGCACGAGGAAGGTGTGTACGTAGTTGTGTCAGTGATATATATTTGTATGTGTGTAGTTAGATGCACATATGTGACTGCATACTGGTGTGTGTGTTTTGGTAAGTGTCATAACACACACAGGTGCATGCACAACGGGGGAGTGTTATCAGAAGAAAAATGTGGACAGATTTTTGGTGTGGTATTTATACAAGATGGAAAAAACAAGGGGAGATAAGCATGCAGGCCTTGTACTAATAAATGATAGCCAAGGACTTTCAGAATGGAGTAAAAGGGGGTTTTACAGAACCAAAAAGCTATAAGAATCTCTTTTTTTTTTTTTGAAGAAAAAATAAAAAGTATCATAAACCTTAATAAGATGGAAAAGGGAACTGAAATGAAGAATCTTTTGGATCAAATACTAAAGTATAATTATGTTGATATTTTAAGAAGAAATGTACATAAAAATTTACATGTATAGAGTGAATCACAATCAAGGTGGATTTAAAAAATATAGTTTTGTGTATAGCATTACACACACAATCTCAAGATATGAACATAAAGTATATCTAATTTATATAGGAAATGAAAAATAAAACAAAAAAAAACTCCAAAATCAAGAAATATTTGTGAAAACCAATACAAGAAACCAAAAACAATAAACAGAAAAATTACATATAGTTGGGGTGGGGTAGCTTTGGGTGGTAAGTAAGGGTGCACTAAAAATTCTTCGCTTGACCCACTTTCCAAAAATCTAAACAAACATCAGGATTTATTTTGCAATCCTTCTTGTTGAAGTTGAGAATTTTTCAGCACTTTCTCATGTGTGCATGTACACACACACATACAAATGATGTTATCCAAAAGTTTGGAAATTTGAATAAACTGATCAATCTGTTCCTCAGTTGTCCAGTGGTTTCTGTATCTCACTGGATATTTCAAACATCAAAATTACTTCACTAGACTTTTTGAATTTAAGCACAGTACTAGACTGTCATTGATATCTCCTAAATTTATAGTTGAGTTGGCTAGATGTAGCCATAAATTCTATGCTATTAGTTTTCTTGCACTTCTTGCTTGTGGAACTCCCTTCTGGCTCCAGGCTTTTCAATCAACTTTATAATGTGCAAAAATTTAAATGTAATATCAATCTCCAGTCCTCCTGATTATTCTTTCTACTTCCCGCTAATTATCAAAGTTTCTGTTCCTAATTCTTTCACACGCAGTGTCTTAGTGGATTTATTGCCATTTAAAAAAAAGACAAAAAACACAGTAATACATGTCTACCAGCCTAGACGTCAAAAATCTTAATGAAGGAAATGAGCTCCCATCAGGAATTAAATATGTATTTCCTGTTCAATTTGCGAAGCTACTTTCAAGCCAAGCATGTTTTACCATTAAGCAATGGGGAGCAATCACAGCAAAGTCTCATTTACCCTATTTAAGAAATACACACCTCTCGTTAAGACATTTCAAAGTCTACATCTGCTAATTTTATTATTATACACAAAACAAAGTAATTCTTTTAAAAAACAATGGATTTTTTTAATTCAAAATAGTTTCTTCTATATAATAAATGTGAATGTTGGTGTGTCATACTTTTTCAATTAAAGGGACACAAATCTCTAACTTTCAATAGCTCATGTTACAGAAATTTTGGATTCCCAAGTTTTCATTACTGCCATTGTTACTGGCAATTTTGTGACAAATTTTTTGTATGATAATTATTATAACTTAGAAATAAATTTGGGAATAATTGAAATTGTGAAATCCAGTGAAAATCACCCATTAAATAAAAATAATTGTTTGTACAGAAAGTAAAGACCTACACACATTGTCTTTAAATTAAGTGGTGACAGAAGAGTTATTGTTGAACTTTTAAAAGGTAAGCTTTAATATTAATGCAATATTTAAATGCAGCGATCAATTTGGAGTTCTTCTGTAGTTTATTGTTGTCTATTGCATATGGCAATTGTATGCCTTGCAAAAAAAAAAAAGCAAAAAAAGATTTCTGCCAATAGAGAACCAGATTGGAATCAAAAGGGCCAAGACTGCAGTGAAGAAAAGAAAGACCTGTGAAAATGAAAATTCAGATCAAACAGCAGCCAGGAAAGATTCTAATGCTAAAAATATGCAAAGACTTGGGGACTCTCAAACTCCTAAACAAGCTGAAGGCCCAATAAAGGGCCCTCCGCAGGAGCTAGCTTAAATGCTGCCTGATAGGGTGGCTTGTAAGCTAGTATTACTATAAATGTTATATTTTGCTGCCACACATATTTGGGTAGACATTCCAGTTTTTTTTTTAAAACTGACTTTAATAGACATAAAAATCAAAATTCCCAGTTTGTAAATAGGATAAATGAGCTTTTCTTTGGTATGATGGTTTTCAGTAGCTTAATGGTAAAGCACACTTGGCTTGAAAGGGCTTTTCCAGATTAAGAAGGGAATACAGGTTGTTGGGAAACATTTTCTTTTATAAAACTTTCAATCTTTATTAATATAGGATTAAAAAATTCCATATATATATATATATATATATATAAAATGTAAATCTATTTAAAGTCAGTGGGTGAAAAACGTGGATAGCACAATTTTCAAACAAATTGGCATCTGAGAGAAAAAAAAGAAAAAAAAATGAAAGAAAGAATGAACCAGAAACCTCCAAACAGGGCGAAAGAAATCGTCCAGTACCTTAAATTTCTGGTACAAAGAAAAAAAAAAAAAAAAAACAGTGAGTAATAAGTTAAAACAAAGAGTGCTCAATACACTAAGTAGAGCAAAAGTAAAATAAATAAATCCTAATGAGCCAGGTACTACCTACCTAGGTATCACCACATGTATAAAAGATGGATTACAATAAAAGGGATAAAAGAATAAAAAAAAAGAAATTTGATACAGAATTAAAAAAAAAAAAAAAAAAAAAAAAAAAAAAAAGGACAAGTCACTTAGAAATCAAGATTTAATAGAGAAATTACAATTATGCCCTGACTAATGCATTAAAGTTTATAATGAATGAAAAAGAAGAGATTTAGAATATTTAAAGTGATCAAGAAATACTATTAATGTCAGTGTGACAAAAAAAATAATCATAAAACCTATGAAAAAATATAGAAAAAACAAAAACAATTAAGTATAAGAACAAATTAGTGTACGTCTACATAAATTGACAAAAATATTTTCAATGTACAAAATATATTTACAAAAACAGATTTAAGGATCTAATACAAAATAAATAAAAGGGAAAACTAAAAAAAATAAACAGAAATATAAAATTCACAATGGCGAATAGAGTTTATATTTTTCTTATAAAGCACAGTAGATATTTATAGTAATGAATAAGTTATCCAAGAAGTAACAAGCAAAAATATTAAGAAAAAGAAACAAAAAAAACATTGAAATATGAAATAAAATAAAAGCAATACAATACAGTAATATTTACCTGGATGACAAGATGAAAGCAAAGAAAAACTATTTACAAAACTGACAAGAAATTAGGAGGGTAAGTAACATATATGCAAAAAAAATAAAAATAAATAAATAAATACAAAATAAAAAGACAAAACCCAATATATAAGTCTTATTAAGGAGGATGTCAAAACAGAAAGACAATGTTTACAAAAATCTAAAACCAAGGAAAGGGTAACAAACAGCAATTTAAAAATAAAATAAATGCAAGTGAAACAAATTTAAGATTCAAGACAAAAATTGACAAGATTTAGAGAAGGCAAAAAATCAAACAATACAGGAAGGAAAATAAAAGAAAGAATTAAAATAGAAAAGAGAATTAGAAAACAAATACAGAGATATAAATTCCAAATTCACAAATCAAAATAAAAGGCACAGATTTGTAGATGAAAACTCAGACATGAAGTGGAAACAAGGAGGAAATAATGCAAAAGCTAAAATGATAAACTTAAAAAGGAACGAGGATGCAAAAACGGTTACAAAAGACTCACAAAGGGTATAATGAAGAAATGCAATGGACTAAAGACATTTAAAAAAAAAAACAAAAAAATGTAAGAGTTATCCATCAACAATGATTTGAAATTCCACACTACAAGAGCAAAAGAATAAAAAAAAACAACACCAAAGCTATAATTACCTGGTACCCATACTAAGTCTGGCAGGCCATAATGTTTGTGTTTCTGCTTGTCTGCATTATCAAGTAAGATAAAGATAAAGATGAATGAAGTAAAAGAGGAAAGAAGAAGACTTGATAAGGAAACTCAATTGACAAACCAGGCTCAAAAAAAAAAAAAAAAAAAAAAAAAAAAAAAGTGGGGAGAGTAAATAGTCCAGGAATAGGGGGAGATGAAAAGGAGAAAATTAAATATGTTTAATAATTCTTATAATGTTCTGGTCAACATGGAAGAAGCAATTAGTTCACATTTGTTAAGCCGATTTGTAGACAGATGGTAAACTTGTCAATCTAATCCAGTTTTCTGAAGAGAACAGTAAAAACTATCTTCAATGGTTGCACAAAATTGAAAAAAAAAAGGCTTCATTCCAATCAGAATTTGACCAGAAAAAAAAAAAAAAAGACAATACCTGATAATCAAAATTTTTTGAAAATTTAGCTCTTTCTCTGCTGCCATGGTTATATTTTCTTACTAAACAAACTGATAAAAACATTAAGCACATTAAACTGTTGCCAGACCTGAATGGGAAAACAAAAAAATAAACAAATGCAGAACAGCCATGAAAATAGAGATCACTGGTAATTCCTAGTAGCTTGTTAAACAAAAATTATCTGGTCACTGTTAATTAACTATACTTAAATATTATAGCTTGCTGATAATTTGATGAGAGATTTATATGAATGTACAAGATTATTAACATATGCATGTGCGTTTTGGTAGTTACTCTTTTGTAAAGATGTTTAGCGGCTATAATCACTATTACCAAACATCACTTTTTTTTATTTAAAATATACTTTTTTTTTTCTCAACAACAGCAAAGTAATTTTAAGCCATTATTATTTTTCAGTTCAAGAAAATTTAAAACATGAAAAAAAAAAAAGAAAAAAAAGCAATTACAAATATTCAGTCTCTGAATAAATCTATTAATAGTTCCAAATTGAAGCTCCTGTCAGCACTTTTCTTCAAATGAATCAGTATTTTTTTTTCTTCTTTTTTTTTTTTTTTGCTGAAAAGATTGTCAAATTAAGCATATTTTTAATCCAGATTTTGTTGAATGAATAGAAAATTTGATTTTCTACACTAACATCTTCATCTCAGACTAACAAACAAACAATATTCACTTTGGTGCATTGAGTGATTCCTATATAAAGCTTAAAAGCACTGATTAGGAAAACTGGTAAGAAACAGTTATTTACAGAATTCTATAATGGTCACATACACATTATATATATATATTTATTTATTTATTTATTTATTACATGAAAATTTTTCATAAGTTTTCTGTTATGTAATTAAATAGTTTCAAGGGAACCATTATAAAATTCTAAATTTAATATAAATTGCATGCTTCAATACAATTTTCAAACCAGGATTTGAAAGTTACCCCGAAGTGTGAAACTAAGAGTCCCCAATTTGTTCCAATGTCCACACTGTCTATATCTGTAAATGCTATCTCTGACATTGACCATTTTCTCTTAAAAATATAGCAAATTCTAAACATAATGAATTCATACTGTAAAATAATAATAATAAACATAGTTCAATTTGAAATTCCCTTTAGGTTACCCTGATTGACTTACACCTGATGAAGGCTGGAGAGAACAGAGGTCGAAATATTGATTGTGATAACATCAACAAAGATGAGGACAATAATCTGCATGTAAATAAAGTTTACTTCCCATGTTTATGCAAGAGTTATTTCATTCTTGAAAAAAAAATGTAAGCATCCACATTTATGGAAAACAAAAAAGGCAAAATGTTACATTTTTCTTATTGGAAAATATCACCAAAATCACATAAAAAATGTTTTTGTATTTTTTTTTATTATCAATAACGTGATCTTAAAGCATAACTAATTTTTACAGCCATTATCTTCAAGTCATGTCTCTTAACATCAACAAAAGTTACTAAATAAAAAATATACAAAGATTATTTTTTTGCTGAAAAGATTATCAAATTAAGCATATTTTTAATCCAGATTTTGTTGAATGAATAGAAAATTTGATTTTCTACACTAAAATCTTCATCTCAGACTATGAAAATAAACATCTAAAAATATTATAGGATCCAGATCCTATATTGTTCTGAAAACTTCAAAAATTAAACAAAAACATAGGCTCCAAATTTAATTACACAACTAACGTAATTTGATTGGTTCAAAAAATATCACATCATGTCATCAACTATGTCTGCACGTCTGACCTTAATTCGACCTGATCAAAGGTACAGTTGCACCAAAATTTTAAAACATTTTCTTGAGCCTATCATGTGACTTATAATGCTTATATATACAACAAACAATTAAGAAATAGAGAGTGGGGAAAAATCACTACATGACAACACTCATCATAAAATAACTGAAGTCCAGACTATAAGTTAAAAATCCTTTTTAACATAACCACAGTCTATTTCCTTTATTCAATGCCAACTAAACTCACATCGGCAAGCAATGAAGCGACACTCAAACGTCAAGCACGACATAAGTCACAACCACACACACATTTTCAACAAACTTTGAACTGTTTATTTTGAATACAAACAATATTACATTGAATTGAATTGAATTTTTCCAAATTCATGCAAATTACCCTACAACTTGCAATCTATCAAACTGAAACATTACCTCACATAGAAAAATCTAAAAAGACAAGTTTATTTCACTATTTTAAACAACATTCATAACTATTGTTTTGTACATTTGTTATATAAAAGTCTAGTTATTTGTACAATTTCTCTTGTCTGAATTTTTTTGTTTCTTCTTCTTCTTGTTATTATTTTGTGGCATTGTGTCTAATATAAATTAGTGAGGGCAACTGACCCTCACAATATAAATGTATAAAAGAGTGAATGAGAAATCTTTGGTAAGAAGAACTGGAATGGATAATCAGGATAAAATATACAAAGATTGTAACCATAAATAAACAGAATCATTTTAATTATGACCTGACTAGGTAGGAATAAAAAAGTCACTTTGTTGAAATTTGTGTTGTATTTGAATAGAATGGAATTATTAAAGTTACGTTGTATTCAGATACAATACAAATATTATTTACATTTACACACAGACTATTATCCCCATCTTTGTTGATTTTATCACAATGTTTTGGTTGTTGTGCTCTCTGGCCTTCATCAGGTAGCCATCAGGGAATTTCAAACTGAACCCTTTATTTAATCTATGGTGGGGTAGATTGTTGTCGTTCCACTGCTCATGACTAGGGAGATTGAATCTAGTTCTTATTTAGTACTGCTCAGTTACTGATCACCTTGTCTCAACTAAGTCCAGGTCCACGCTGACCAATACAAAGAAAATAAACATCTAAAAATAACTCAACAACAAAGATGACCACAATCCTCATCCCAGAAATTCAGACAGAGAATACAAATATTTGAAAACTGAATTTAATAGATTAAAAATAACTTAGCTTTTAGTAAGGCAATAACCAAATGTACAAATAACCAAATGAGTTTTCAATGATTATTTATAACATGCAAATGAACTTCTTAAAATACTTGACAATTGACATATGAATGTATTGAACAGGGTAGTAGCTTTCAATTAAAAAAAATAATACAAGGAAGAGTCCTTGCTATAGAAATATGAACAGATTTAAAAAAAAAAAAAATGAATTTTAAAGAACATTAATGGGAAAATGATAAATTTTTATATATCAAGCACAATTTTAGGAAAATCTATGACAAAATGGAAAAGTTTGTCCTTTACCCTGATAAAGTTCTAAAGGACAGAATGAATCACACAAAAACTTTTTCCACTTTGTCATAGATTTTCCTAAAATGCTATCAAAGATTGTTTTACTTGAGTTTCAGCTTTTTCACAAGGTTTGATGAGAAGATTTTTCTTTTTTTTTTCTTTTAATAGACACTTACAATGTTACACAGTGAAACCTTGCATCCTAGTAGCTTTATTGCCTTGCTTGGGGTGAAATGATTAAAAAAAAAAAAAAAAAAGAAGTTGAAGGAGAGTACTTGGAATTAAAGTCAAAAGGGGTTTTGGTATATAAACATCATGAGTCATGCAAGCTTTCTTCTGACAGTTTTATGGAAAATGATTATCTAAGAGTTAGAATAGTATTATTTTCTTGGGAGTGTGGCGGGGTGGGGTGGTGAATGCTTTATAAAAAAATATGCAATTTTTACCCACCAAAAATTTATTAGACAAACAAAATGAAAAAATAAAACAAAAACAAACAAAATAGAAACGCAAGATTAGTATTTACGGGAGAAAAAATTCCCAATTTTTAAAGATTCTTTCTTTGGAGACAGGGAAGGAAGAGGAAGAAAAGCATTTACATGCTGACCAGATCAGAGCAATACAATCAGTGAACCAATATAGATGAAAAGATATTTGTGGAGGGAGAGAGAGGGTGAGAGACTGCATCAGCAGCAGTAAGAACAGCAGTATTAGTAGTGCAGCCAAACCAGCAAGAGAGTAAGTCAGCTTTGAGAAGAGACCAAAGAGTAAAAGTTGCAAATCATGCCCAGAAAAAAACCAAAAGTCAACTGTTTGGTGAAAAATAAAAACAGATAATGGGAAAGGCAAGGAGAAAAACAAAGAGTTTTGTTTTTTCTATGAATTAAAACAACTTAAAAAAGATTTTAGACAAAAGTCAATTCAAAATTTGCTAAGACGTTTAAAAGAAGGAAGAGATTTTGATGTTTTACTTTAAATTTTTGTTAGTTTGAAATTAAAAACCTTATTACATACAGTTATGTATTCATCCACACACACAAGGTTTGCATGTGTGTGCATGTTAAAATACACAAGGTATAGGGTGCAGCAGGTATTTGAGAACACACATTTAGTGGCCATAAATGAAAGAAAATCCAACATAATTTTAGCATTCTCACTTCTCTTTAAGGTGTATCAAGTGCCTTAACATGGCAACTTCCAATCTGACACTGAAAATGAAAAGGTATGATAAGTCGATGGCACTAGTCAGTGTCTTGAATGTGTCCAGTCCTTCGTGTTCAAGTTAAGGAACAAACTGGAGGCCTCTGATGGGGCTGCGTCATCCATGTCCAAGAGAAAGAAACAGAGCTACTTATAGTGATATACACAAAGTTCCTGTTGCCTGTGATGGTCCTTGGGCTCATGAGCAATAAAGGCCATGCCATACCACACTTCTTCTTCCCACAGGGCTTCAGTATCAAGGACACCACCTTCACGAAAATCCTGGACATAGTGATCAAACCTAGGACTTAGCAGGTGGACCAGTGGAGACTGTAAACATTCCAGCAGGACTCTGTGCTCTTGGATGTGGCTGGCTGAAAATTTTCATAAACATATGACCTCCTAGTTCTCCTGATTTGAATCCCCTGTTTAAAAAAAATCAACATATGGGACATTTTTGAGAAGGCAACCAACCACCAGCCTCAAGGACCATATTGAAGGCTATCATCATGAACATGATGGCCAACATGAATAAGTACCACCCCTGATTAAGGTAGTCACTTTTGAGATTACACTGAGGCTCCATCCTCAAGGTTGAGTTGTTTTTTTTACCAATTTTTTTTTCTATTTGATATTGAACATGTATAAAATGTTTGTTAAAATATAATGAAATTTTTTTCTTTGTTTTTGAAAATATAATGAACTATTTTTTTCTTTATATAATAATGTTCTCAATTACCTGATTCATTTTGTATATGAGTCTACATCAATAAATTTATGTTCATTTCATCTGTGTGTGCACATATAAATATACATACAAAGATACAGAAACTCACAGAGTATATACACTTTGCATACATATTATATACTGACACACACAAAGTAATAAGTTTGAGTTCATAAAGCAATCCTAGTTTGAGTAGAACAATAAAACTGCAAAGAGAAATGGTCACCTGGTGAGTAATCAAACACGAATGCTAACCATTGTTCCAAGGCAACTATATAGATGAAAGTAATAGAGTTTTATCTCTCTGAATATTTTTGGTGTTGTAATGAAAATAAATTATGTGTCTACTCAACAGAAATAGTCAGTCTTGTTAATAATCATGTGATCAGTTTTTGACAAGCAAAGTACAAGATACACAATTGCAAAAGAACAAATATACAATGATTTTCTTTTTAAACTAAGACTCACCCACCCACTTTTTTTTTTTCTTTTATTAAAATGTAACTTTTGATCCAGATTAGGTTCCCAAAAATGCTGACAGGAACAAGTATACATTTATAAATAAACATTCTTCTGAAATTATAGGATTTTGAAAAATCTCTAAGCATGCTAAATAAACCTACCAACAGAAATGAGAACTTGATAGCTTAAAACCAACAGGGAAATTAGTTTGTTACCATTATAAAAGACAGAATTAGTAAGATTAAAAAAAAAACAACCTTCAATACACCTAACAAAAGTAAACAGTCCTAAAAATTCCTTTTTCCAGCAGACAACATTAAAGGAATGAAAAAATGGATTAATAGTTTTGCTAGATTTTTTTTCATTTTTTAACAACAAAGATCATCTTTTTGATATCATAGAAAATAATTATAAAGTTCATAAATTCTTATAAAAGCAAAAAATATTGAGAAATTGAGAAAACCTTTGCTCACACAAGGGAAACATTTTTGAAACTTAGTAATTTTTAAAAATCTGTACATTATTATCCAATTGTTTAAGTTACGGTAATTAATTTATTTTTTTATTTTCATTTTTTTATGAATAATTAATTATGCCAGGCAAAGATTTTTAAAATTACTTCAGAAATATATGGTCTGATGGAAAAGTATATTTTATTTTTAATCTAAAAAAATTCAACAAACATTGACTAAAGGCAGATTAGAAAGAGAGAGAGAAAGAAAGAAAAAAAAAGAAGAAGAAGAAGCATCTAGGAACACAAAAATCCAGTTGATGATGAAATAGAGTTGCACTGACTTTTTTTTTCATTTTCTTTTCTTTCTTCTCATTGTCTTCTGGGTTTTCTGTCTCTCTGGAGTCCAATATTCATACATGCATAGAGAAATTAGGCAGGAGGCAGCAAGCAATGTAGCGAGAGGCAGAACCAGAGCCAAAGGGGGATTTTGTGGACTCACCTCGGTGGTAAAAGTACCCCTGCAAATGCCTCTCATCAGGTTCTAAGGTCATGTAGATATCATCATATCTTTGAGTGTGGTGCATTTTGTACGGGGTGGGGTGACGATTCACTCTATAGCCAAAGCTAGACATTCTATCTCGTTCTAAAGAGCTGAATTCAGAGTCTTCAGAATCAGTGGTGCCAAAGACTTTCCAAATGGAAGAAGAAGAAAAAAAACAAAAACAAAATAAGAATTTTGTGGACAATTCAGTGGAAGTTATCTGCCCCTGAATATGTCCAAAATGATGACCTCGGTGATTGATGAGTTGCCGAATTAAAATCTCATGATCAGAATGAAATGAGAGAAATGCATAAATAGGGGTGAGATTTTAAAAAAGGTTTTAGAAATTATGTTTTGATAATGGAAGAACTTAAAAAGAAAAAGAAGAAATTGATAAAAGCTTTTCTTGGAAAACCTGATCAAATTTGCTTTGCTTTAGTCATGATCCCATATCAGATAATAAATATTGGAATATAATTATTTAATTTGTGCATTCTATACATATTGATATCACACACAAATCTGGAGGGTGGATAAGTTCTATTGAAAAAGCATTTTGTAAACAACAAGAATCAGAATCCAATCAAATAATTTGTTTGTTCAATAATTATTCTTTGAGTTTATATGAAAAACCTAGTTAGTTCAAAAATTTTAAATCTAACTTTTAACTAAAAATTAGTTCAGTTATCAAAATTACTGAAAACTGAATTTTTCCCTTTCAGAAGATATTTTATTATATATATATATATATATATATATATATATATATCTTGGATCATGAAAAGACCTAATATTTGTAAAAACAAAATCCACTTTATGCTTTCTAATGACTCTTGTAATCAAATGAGGACCTAATCCAAAGGTCTGTGCTAAAAATTAATTTTCGAATACATATATTTGTAAGTTTCAAAATTAGCTGTCAAACAAACTTACAGTTGAAGAAAAAAAATACTTATTCAAAATTTACTTTCAAATTAATAGATAAGGTTGGAAGAAGAAACAGCCAACAGATATTGTATTAAGCATCTATTAGCATTTGTCTCTTCTCACACAAAATATATTTCCGTAACAAACAATATTTAAATCTGACAATTAGATATAACGACATAGAGAAAGATATTTCTTTAAATATCTCTAGAATTAATGAACAAGTACAAACATGTGATTGGTATTTTAAAAAAGTGTAAAAATAACAATGAGAGTTTTGAGAAAAAAAATGATAGATTGCTGATTGCAATGATCTTTGGTAGTGAATGAGGAAAAAGTAGCCAAGATTGGAACAGTTGATATTCAGATTCCTTAAAACTTAGGCAATGTAAATATACCACTTTTGTCCATCAGTATATTTCTTATATTAGACTTTTTCACATTGCAATATTATTTTTTATTATTTCTGATGTCTTTCATTAATAATGGTTTCAAATATATATTCCATAATGTTCAAGGTCAGATAATTTTCAATGTCAAATTACAATGATTCAGTATTAATTCTAAATATCAGAGAATTGTATTTATTTCTTATATGAATGTATTGAAACACTTTTTACATCAAAATGAATCTATGTATTAGAAAAATTTGTTTTCACTGAAAGAAGCAATATATTTTCTTTGGTTTCAACTAAGAAATATCAATTATTTATATATTCATAACTCCAGAAATATTAGAAATATAGTTTGCAATGTAAGGAAAGAAAAAAAAACACTAATCTTCAATCTCACTGAGAAAACTGAATCTGATTAGGATAGTGTAGTGTCATCAACAAGTGTAGTATTTGATTCTCATTCACACGACTGTCACCTTCATTGATTCTTTCAAGTGATAACTTTATGACAAAAAAAGATTAACTTTATTTAAATATTTAGAAGATTCCCTACAAATCGACTCAATTACTTTGGTCAATGAGATCAAAATTTGAAATAATTTTAACTGAAAAGGAAATATTTGAATTCTTATAAAAGGAGTTCCATTTCATCACCACAGTGAAGAATGTAGGGAAAACACATCAAAAAGGGAATGTGGGAAATTAAAATTCCCAGATCAAAAATAAAGCCAACAAGTGTTTAATAACTGCCACTAACAAAATTATGTGGCTGTAAAAAAAAAAAAAAATGTTAATTTACAAAACAACCAACATCCTTTTTGCCTACCTGTGCCTAAAGTAAACAACATAATATAGTTTCTTTTGGTCTGTCTGTAAACAAAGTAATTGTGAAAATGAAAGTTTTAAGCATATTAACATTGAAATAAGTCATGTAAATACAAGAAGTAAATTTCAACACTTAAATTTATTGCTTTGATAATTCTATAAATTACTATTTTTGCTGCATTTCTCCTTTCTGTGATGCTTAGACAACTGTACAATTCTGTTGCAGACCTATAAGATTTCCTCTCATAGAAGAGTCTGCAACAGGTATAAAGAAAATAATGTTTGCTTAATAGACAATATTGCTATAAAACATACTTGAGGCAATTTTACATGATTTTTGAAGTTCTGCATAAATATGTCAAATGGGAAGGTAAAGTAGAATCGTTGGATCGAATTCAAGTTCTGGCAGAGTCCATTGCATTCACTTTTACACTAATGCCCTTGAGAAAGACATAAATCTATCTCTTCTTCAAAAAAAATAGCAGGATAGACAAAGCTCTTTAGCATTGGGTGGCAGCCAGTTTAGGAGATGGACAATGCTGAACTCAAAATCATATAGAAAGTAATGGGGAAAACATTTAACTATTTTTCCCCAAGATGTCATAGTATTTCAGAAATAATTTGAATTAAAAATAGGAAAAGGAATCAGTGGAGGGCAGTGATCATCAACATCCTGCTAATACCAGTGTGTGCATAAATAAGAACCATCAAAATTGGTAATGCCAGGTGTTCAGGAAAAAATAGGAAGTAAGGCTAGATAAATAGATTCATCACCTGCAACTACTGACATTTATAGCTCAAGCAGTAGGGTGACTGTTGTGCTAGGCTAGGCTACCCCACCCCAGAAATTGCAAATTTGAGTTTTGCCAAAAGCTTATTTTATATTTCCAATCTGTACTGTTAATATAGAATGAAGGTCTGCCAAGTTGCAATAAAAAGCAACTGAAATTGAGATGAAAAAAAAAAAAAAAATGAATAATAGCATTCATGGTTTTATTTTTTTTCATCTAATAATGATTACCAACAAGTATATTTTTTCAGGGTTAATTTCATGAGATTTCTATATGAAAAAAGAAATGGCTCAATAAGAAATTTATCACAGCTCCAAGATTTGGAACTTACCTTTGTGTTCCTTCTTGCGAGTGGATTTGATACGGTGGACCTTGCCTGCAGGTAAGGCATCTTCGACTAGAGCATAGTCACTCTCAGGAGGAGACTGGGGAACAGCATCCTGCAAAAACATATACACAGGCTTCATGGCAATATCATCTAAAATCTCATTAAACAATTTATAGACATACAGGAGCAGAATTTACTCCATCTAAGTAGTGTTACTGTTAGTAATATATATTTTTTACATTATTTTTTACCCAATACCAGGCTCAAGAGACACTCAAGGAAGAGGGTTACTGAATGGGATTGTTTAATGGATGTAAGAATTGTAGATTATAGGCTATGTGGGATAGATAACAGATGACCCTAATTAAACATAATTATATACAGTATAATTGCTACTACTATATAAAATTCAAGATTTATAGGTGTGTTGATGCTGTTTGTATGTGGAATTGATCAATTTTAGCAAAATTTTATGCATGGTCTTTGTTTGTTTTTTTCCCCCAGAAAGATTACACTTTAAAATAATAATAAAATTTGAACCATAAACCAATGAACAATAAAATCCAAATTTAGTTATTGATTTTTGAGGTAATGATTCTGATCATACTAAAGAAATAAAGCATGCTCACACACATTTTAATTCTTAAATACCAGAAATGGAAAAAAAAAAAAACAAAACAAAGGAAGTGAAGTCATGATGCATTCAAAGACAGATATTTTTTTTAGTTTTCCTTAAGACTCAAAGGGCTGATGAGAAGAAGAGCATCTGGCTGCAAAAATACATTATAATCAATCATTGCAAGAGAAAATCCATTCCTACATTTAAGAAAGAAGATACAAGAACAAAACATTTATGAAGAAAGATTATGTTGAGTCTTTATTGCCTGCCAGAGGTCCTTCTTGCAACAAACCCCAGGCCAATGAATTAAATAAGTGATACTTTGTATTTCTTCTGACAGTTGATTTTATAAAAGTTTGAATATTTCATATCTATAACCAATCTTGAATAGAAAATAAATGGCTTAAGTAATTTCTTCTAAAGTAAATCATAGACTTTCAATGAATTTTTATCTTATTGTTAGTTTGTAATTATAGTTTTTCTTTGACCATTAAAACAAGTAGTATGAAATCAAAATAATAAAGATGAAGCCCTAACAAAAGCTGACCGTTATTTACGAAGCTTGATTTACACAGAGACCTCATGGTTAGACAGAACTCAAACCTTTAATTATATTGTTACTCCTTCTCTTCAATTCTTTCAACCATATTGCTTGTTTACTACCTAATAGCAATCTTAATTTGTTTGATAAACAATTCAAACAAATTAAGATTAAATTCTAGTTATAGTAAAAACATTCTCAATACAACAGAAGTAAAAATGTTTTATGATATTAATGTAACCTTTTTTTTTTTTAATTAATAGTTGGCAAAATATCTAAGGTTACATTTCTTATTTTTTATTAGAAATAAATCCAACAAATCCTAAAGTTTTCTAAGGTTACTTATACTCTCTGGGGTTTAACAGATATGGGATAAGTGAAAGGAAATTCTTTAATAACATTGATAAGAATAAGAAAAATGATAAGACATGTTTTAAGAGCAATTGGTAGAAGAGTTAGCAGTGAAGAGAATATACCATAACCCCTTTCATTATTGATTGAACATTGATGTAAATGGCCAGAATATATATATATCCTTAAAATTAATCTATGTATCTTAGACCATTCATAATATTATTAAAGTAGTAACATACATAATATTGTTAATACCTATATTTATGAGTATAAAATATATATCTGTCTATATTTCTGAGATGTGGTATTGTAACTATTTACACTATTTACATTGTTCAGGCTATTGTCCTCATCTTTATTGTCATATATGTGATGTTTCAGCTTGTTTTATGGTCTGGCCTTCTTCAGGTGATATACATTGGAATTTCGAACCAAAAGAGGAGAGAAGTGAAACTGAAATATACATAAAAGGCATGGCATGTGGAACTAGAATAATCTACCCCACTGGACTAAAACAAGGGTTCAGTTCAAAATTCCAATGTATATCACCTGAAAATGGCTGGAACATACAACAGCTAAAACATTGTGAACATGACAATAAAGATGAGGACAATAGTCTGAACAATGCAAATAGTATAAAATATAAGCTAAGCATGATATATATGTGAATACTGTCTCACAATTTGATGTTATGATAACTCTTAAGCATAATAACCTGTTTCGAAGGTAATAAAAAAAAAAGAAAAAATATTTCCCGTTACAACAAAAAGAAAAAGAACAAAGACATGTTTCAAGATATTTACAAAGTCTTTATAACTTTCTACACAAACTTTAGATAAACCAAAGAAAGAAAAAAAAAAGAATTGTATGCGTGTGTTTTTGGTGAGGCAAAAAAGATGAAATGTGCACCAATTTGTTTTAAGTGAGGACAAGGGAAGGTTTTTCGTAACAAAATAAAAATAATATATATATATATATATATATATATATATATAAAAGTTCATCACCCAACAATAACAACAACAAAAACATACTATAACTTCAATTTCAGACACTATTTAATCCAATCTGTGAGTGTAAGGCTGACAATATACAAGTGCATAGACATATACGCATACAGCCATACATACCTTAGTTTAACAATAACAAGTAACAAAAAAGGGAGATAATCAGTACCAAAAGGCACATTAAATCATATGAGTTTTAAACACCACTTTAAAATAGCATATATTTTTTACTGCCAGATGTTCTTACTACAAAGCTGAAGTTACTAATTCAAGTAAATGAGCTTCACCTATCAAGCAGCTGAGGTTATCATTCTTCCTCTAATTTAGTAAACTATTTTTGGTATTTGAGATATTATAGACTAAAGTTTGCTTTTATTTAACAAGCTATTTTTGGAAAGCTGCTACAAATAGAAATTTAGAAAAAAACTTCTATTTTCTATTTTGAAAAAAATAATATGTGAAGTCTTAATTTCTGATTAATTGTACGTTTAATGGCACCAATGCTAGAAATCCTAAATCTATGATTTGCTGTGAAAAGAATCACTGCTGAAAGCCTTGAAAAAAATATAGCTTCAAAACAACTGATTGGTAATATGTTTCAACTGGTTGTATTTTAAATATCCTTCTAAAAGAGATTTTGAAAAGAAACCTACAGAGATGCCAGCTTTTAGAAACAGCTTACTTGAAACCAAAATGTTTTTTACTGATATTCCCACCTTCAGCTACGGTTCTTAAATGTGACTAAGGAACATTGTTATAACTGAAGCATCTCCTATGACCTGTAATTTGTTATGTAATGTATTGAAGGGACTTCAACAAACAACCACCATATCTTTTCCACAGAGCTGGTATCATTTTTGTTAATACCTTTTCAATAATTGTCTATTTACAAAAATGTTCAATGTTGTCAGATCTTGTTCCAACCAATCTTTGGCAATGATACACAAGTTTCCCAAACAATGTTTCAAATATTACATTTTCTCTTTTTTCATTAAAACCAACTGAATCATAGCAAAGTAACTGATTTTGGTAATACTTGAATCAAAACCAAATTTAGGTTGAAATTTGTTCAGTAATCTCAATAAGAGAGAGAGAGAGAGACAGGCAGACAGACACATTGTATACACAGGTCAATATTCCTGTAATTAATAACTTGAAATGACTTCAAACTAATTTGAAATGTAATTGTTAAATCTCAAAGCAATCCATAAAAGAAATATTTTTACAATGCTCTAATACTCATCTTTTTCAACAAGTCATATGTCGAAAAGCTGGCGCCATAAAACAACTTATCAACTATACCTTACCAAGTAAAGACTACTACTAAAACAGGTTCAAATTTATGAGAAAAGTTTTTTTTTCCACTTAGCTTTCATGCTATCTACATTAATTGTACCTACCTTGGATAATATAGGCTACAGTTGAAAAGATAATCCACTTGAAGACGCTTTGTGTTTTGTAGGTTTAGAGGGGAATACATATAACATAGAACTACCACAGACAACACATAGCAGACAAACAATATTTAGATTGACCTTTAGATTAGAATTTGACTTACCACAAAGAGATGAAAGGTCCATGTTTGTGAGTTATTAAGAGAAAAGAAGGCACAGTAAATAATTATGTTAGTAGTTAATAACAACCATTGGATACAATACATAATTTATATGTAGGTAAAATATTATAATCATTATATATTAGAGGAATGTGATGTAACAGGTGACTAGAAAGTACTAAAGGCTGATTGTGAAAAATACTTTAATCTCATAGATGATAAACAGAAAACAAATTGTTGTATTACAAAATATGCCAAGTTTTTCTTTTCAGTATTATTTTGATGTTGTAACTGATGATGAACACAGACAAGGGTGTTATAATAATCAGTGAAGTAGATGCTCACTGGTATCTGACAAAGTGTATATCAGAAGATATCAAGCAGCATGACAAAGTATTAAATAGTTCCTGCAACTATTTTGAAATCTGCTAAAATAATGATCATGTATGAGATGTAGAAATATATATATATATATATATATATATATATATATATATATATATATATATACACACACACACTTAGATATTAAGATGTCTGCTGAAATGGAGTCACTTGGCAAATCATCTATTATATAACAGTGATTTAATCCCTTAACAGGTTAGCTTGTTATCTCCCCCCCAAGTTTCAACTAATTTTTCTTTTATGTATGCAATAAGCCCATGCAAAAATATACTCTTTGTCTTAAGTGATTTTTTAGTAAAAAAAAAAATACTCTAAATGGATTATGGATTATACTGAGTTAAGTGGTCCATATTAAAAAAAATTCAATTAAATTTATATTTTCAAGAGATTATTTATAAATCTAAAGAAAAAGGTTGAATTAAAAACAAAGAAAGAAAGCTTATTTCATCAACAAAAAAAAAAAAAAAAAGAAATGCTTAGAAAAGGTTAACTTCATTTTCAGGTGTTTATTCTCAAAATAAGGAGTGATACACACATTCTTATTTCTTTTACACCCTGATAACTTTTTAACACTTTTCCTTATCTATCATGTTTCTGTGCACAGACCAGGCACCTTCAAATTGATAAATCAATATAAGCAACAATACATTCAGAATTACCACATATCTACTAAAATCCCAAACAGTTGATCATGTATGAGAGAACAGAGGGAAAGGACACAACTGCCAGGCATATGATGTAATACATAATTAAGATACACCAATCAAAACCCAATTTTAAAAGTGAATTACTGGATGTGTTAACATGGTATAATCCAAAACATTGAAAAGAAATTAATAAAATGCAACAATCCATTAAAGATGATGAAAGATAAAATATGATCATGTAATATGTTTGCATCTGAAAACATGTGAAATTTATACTGCAGTACACAAGATGCTTTTTGTATGATTCATATTATTTGAAACAAATACTACTTTTGGTAGAGTAATAACCAATGCAAGAGTGGCAAACACTAGCTGTCACATGTTTTTAACAGTTATCTTATATATTGTATCATCTTAAAACTTAGCAATATCACTCCAAGACTTTTGCTATTAAGAAATAGATTTTTCTCTAAATCAACTCACATACAACAAAAATTAGGAGTAAAAAGAAGAAAGAAAAATTTGTACAGTGAATTTTTTTCCAAGTATGCATAATGTACTGCAGCAGTAGCTACAAAGGTGGATCAATAAGTCCATAGCCTGACAGAGTTATCAACAGTTAATCCTAAACTTTTTACTGCTGAAACTTTTTGATTATGTGGAGAAGTATTAAGTGTCAGGGAAGGAGATCAAGTTCAAATACAAATATTGATTGTGTAAAATAAATGTTTTTTTTTTTTTTAACCATTAGACTGTGGATTTATTGACTTATCTACATATGTAGTGTGTTAAACTCTATGAAATAAAGACACTTCACAAGTTTTCAGATTCTAGACACATTAATGAACTGCAGATGAAGTAATAACATTTTCCAATTTATTTTTCTTTGTATTTTTAAAAAATTAAATACACAATGAAACAACAAACAGGAAAATGTTCCAATTGAATTAATATGCATGTAAAAATCAGTTTTTTGTATTTCACAAAGCAATCAATAAAAAAATCCAGTAAATGAGAAACTAGAAACAAAAGATAACTTTGAGTGGTTTGTGCTAATGTTAATGCTGCTGCTATATGTATATCTGTGTAGGTGTACATGGACATAATTTTATGAGTGCTTTTGAGAAAAGTTTTTAGATACAAATTAATGAATATTGTTATGTAATTTATGGAATACTTTAAAATCAATTTTTGTAAAAAAAAAAAAAAAATGTTCAAAAATATACTTTTTCCTTCAATAATAATGTTTTTTAAGAAATAGAAATTTTATCAAATATGAGATTTTTAATTAATTTTAGTTATAGTTTTTACAAACTTTGATTTTTTTGGCTTAAGAGAACAACTTATTGAAGCAAGGGTTCAAAGTTCATGTATCATTTAACTCTTTTAAAGATTTTGATATTGATTATTTTTAGAAATAGTTAAAAGTTACCAACTTAGTCTATACTCATTGATGCAAACTTACAAATTTTTTAGTATAAATCATTGTATTTTCATGTTTAGGAAATATCACAAGCCATATTTTAAACAGTATGATGCTGTAAAATTTGAACTGACTACAGTTGGTACAGAACCTAAAAGACTTGGTTAAAGTGGTGAGCTCTTTGACATTTAGTAAGAGTGTAAAAGATTTATATAATAACAGTAATTCTAAAATTCAAATATATATGTACACCATAGAGGTATGATAGATTTTACAAATTTATTAATGCATTGGCTGCAGAGAATATGTAATAATTGGATGGAATGTTCAAACCAAGAAACTATGTCTCTTCAGATATGGCAAAATGAACTCATTGTGGTAAAACTTTAAAAAATAAATTTTATTTCTAAATAGTGATCAGACATATATCAGTAATTTGGTAGGAGCAAAAAGTGTTTTTGTTTTTTTACACTTATGTACACTTTTTCACAAAACAATAATCAAGACTATTTTGTTATTTATAATATTCTATCAGTAAACCAAGTTCAGTTAATAAAAGATGTATTCTTGATTATATCTTCATTAAAATGACCAAGTATAAGGCTAACCATTCTCTTATACCACACTTAAGAGACTAATTATAATTAAAATGTGTAATTTTAACTTTTTTTAATGAATGACATTGAAACTCTAAATCAAAAGGATCACCAAGTCAAACAAGTACTAATTAAGATTTAGTTTTAAAACCATTGTAGGTACTAAAATATACTAAGATAAAAAATTTTCTTACTTTTTAATGCATATATTTAAAAAAAAAGAAATCAGGTGTTTGCAAATATTATATATACATAGTTTTATTATTACACTCTAATAAGAATATTATTTGCAAAATCTTGTTTTTTACTTCTTACTTTGATATCTAAAAAAATTGTTGCTAAGTATAAGAACAAACTGATAGCTGCTTGTAGAGTAAAATCATGATTTTTTTTTTTTTTTTTTTTTTTAGCTTTGGAGAAAAAATTGTAGGAATGGAATTCCATTGATTCTTAAGATGCAGAAAAAATGATTCTTAGAATAAACTTGATGCCATATGGCTGTTCAGCAAGAAATTCTGATATGATATTTTTGCAATTCATTTTTCAGTTATCAATTTTGATTCATGAAATATTACATAATTTCTAAAGAATGGATTTATTTTTAATTTGACTTTTTTTATTACTTCAAATGTTATTTTTCGTGGATACTCATGTTTGAAATAGATGCTCCACATATATATGAAAAAATGATAAATTAATTTCTTCAGAGGAACAAATATTTTCTTAGTAAAAACCCTATGATATTTTACAGTTTTTTTTGTGAAAAAATGTATGGTTTATATAACAAGAAAATAAAGAAAAACTACAATTACTGTTTCAAATAACATCTGATATGGTGTGAGATCCTAATTTATACAATAAATTCATTATAATTCCTACACAATTGAGAGCACTTTCAGCACAAAACATTTGCAGCAAGCTACAAAATTTTTTTAATAATATGCAACAAGCAATTCATCAATTAAAAACATTAAATTAAAAATTAAACAATAAAAATAAAAAATTAAAATTTCAAAAGATAATAAAAACTGTAAGAAAACAAAGATGACAGAAAGGACTTTTTTCTTTTTTTCAATATTAAAATAAATGAACAAGAAAGTAATACCAAGATTATTTTTTCTCTTTAAAAATAAAGTAACTGAAGAGAAAATAAACTGACCCCAAAATAATAAAATAAAATAAAAATCTGTCATACAAGAAATAAAATATAGCAATAACATAAAAGCAATTGTTGTTAAAAGAAATCAGAGAAAAAAAATTAGATAACACAGACAATATTGAGATTTATTTCTCTCTCTCTCTCTGTGCATGTGTGTGTATATATATATATATATATATATATATATATATATATATATATATACATACATACATACATACACAGAGAGATTCACACTGTGTTTATTAGAATATATAAATATAGATGCGATTATATATAGATAGATATATGTATATCTATATATATACAGATTAAAGAATTCAATATCGGTGATAAAAAGCTGTGCTGAAGAGAAGACATGGTAGCAATAGCAAAAAATACAGCAGCAGCAGCAATAATAATAATAATAATAATAATATTGGTAGTAATAGTAGTAGTATTTGCTGTAAGAAAGTGGATTACTTTTGGTCATGCACAGACAACAGGGAGCCAAGTCGTTAGCAACAAGGCATGCAGCCAGCTTAGTTAAGGCAATCGCTACTCAAGAGTCACCTGCATCAGGGAGAAGAGAGAAAAAAATCCCTTGACAGGTGACACTAATAGACTACACAATGACAAACAATAAGAAATAAGTGCAGAAAAGTAGAAAAAAGGGAAAGATGGAAGATGTTGAAAAAGAAGGATAATGAAAATAAAAGAAGATAGAAATGGGGAAACTTGAAAAGAATGAAGTGAGAGTTGGAAAATATCTAAAAGAAAAAAAAAAAAAAATCATGGAAGGAGGAAAAAGATAAAAAAAAAAGGAAAAAATAAAAAGGAACAAGGGAAGAGCAGTTTGAAGTAATGAATCAAAAAGAGAGAAAAAAAGAAGTAATAAAGAAAGAAAAAGAGAAATGATAGAGTGGGAAATGAATGGAGAAAGAAAGAATGGAGGAAGAAAGAGAAAGAAAAATCAAGAAACACAAATAAAGAGACAAATTCTGGATAAAAAAAATTAAATAATACTGGAAAAAAAATTTTTAAAAGTAGAAAAAAAGAAATAAAAATAACAACAAAATATAGACAAAAAGAAAGAAGAAACATATAGTCTGATGTGACCAGCACTTGAAAAGCTGGCCTAAGAAAAATTAAAAAAAAAAGAAAAAATAACAAGGGCAATAGTGACAAATTTAAACGATATGCAGCGTTGCATGCAGCAATGTGTACAGACTAAATTGGCAGGGGTTTTGTTAAGTCTTCAAGAAACTATTCAATATTTCTATTACAGCTTTCAACTGACAGTCAGTCACACAGACAGGCAGACAAGGCAAGGAGGCCCAAACCTGATACACAACTGCATGGTGTGAGAGACAATGGGAGGCAACCATGCCTACACAAATGCTTGTCCCTGCCTTATTTTGAATTTGGTGCTTTAAATTTGAAGTGATTATTCTACAGAGTTTTCTTTTTTTTCTTTTTTTTAATATAGAAAAATAATAAATAAGTTTTTAAAAATATTACAAACATCTTACACTTTTGGTAGGTAGAGTAATAAAAGCTTTTTTTTTAGTATAAGAATAAAATATATATAATTTATATGTATAAACACTTGAATATTCCCTAATACAATCTGTGGGTGAATAAAAAATCTGAACTTTCAAACAGAATTACATAAAATGAAAACCTGGGTGGCTAGAAGGGAATGGTTTGTGCACTCTTTTCTATATACTGAATATGCCTCAAATTCCAATGTTTGGCCACAATATGGGGTCCAATATAGAATAAATATTTTTAAAATGTTTACTGCCTCAGCAAAGGCTATTCTTGCAAGTAAATGTGAGAATATTGCTTCACCACCTGAAAGGATTTAAAACTTCAAGCATATATAATAGAGCAACTAAAAAACACAGGAAAACCTTTTAGTCAACTATATATTTACCAAACACTACAATGGTACATTTTTTTTCATTTTAAAACAAGTTTTCTGAAAGTGTGTGCGTGTGTGTATGTATATATATATATATATATATATATATATACACACACACACACACACTTTAAAAAATTAAATAAAATTGTTGTTAGTGGATTCACAATAACATTTATTCAACAAATATAGCTCTTGCATTATTAAGAAGTACATGTTTAATTTAGAAATATATTTTAAAGAGTGAGACATGTTTGAAAGTGTTATTACCTGAGAGACTAATACATTCTACATTATTTGAAGGTTGATAAAGAGCCCGGAAGGAGATAATGATTTGAAAATTCCATGGGAAGTTAATTAACACATATCTAAACTTCATAAGATAAAACAATAAGGGCATTTAAAAAATCTAGAGGGAGGGAAATGGGAAACTGATTTTATGAACAGGAATGAATACATGGCAGAAAGGATGAAGAATTAATAGACCCAAGTGATTTTTTTCTTCTTACCATGTCTCATATTGCAAATGTATTGTTTAAACTTTATGGCAAGTTTCAGAAAATAAATTACACAAACAAATATCTTAAAGCAACTTCTCAAACAATTATAACAAATGCAACATTGACCACAAATATATAATATTGCATAATAAGAAATAATTTCAATTATGCAATGAAGTTGATTTAGTTTTGTACCTGCCCATAATTGATAGAGACTCAATTTTTAATTTATTTTGAAACTTGTTTTCAATTTTTATCATTAAAACTCATCAGGAAGAGAAAAAACAAAAACAAAAAAATACAAAAAGATTATCTTTACAATTTTGAAATAAAAATTTTAATAAAAATGTTTGCAATATGAACCAAAATAAAAAAAAAGTGCTTTGTTTCCTTTAAAAACTGAGATGGTTATATTTACAATATGATAAGGAGAGTCATAAGTCTCTTTGCAGTGATGTAAGGTGAATGTTGATAGAGGTTCAAGTAACATGAACATAATAATCATTTGAAACAGAAAAGAACTGTAAAAGAAAGAAGCAAAGAGAATGCTCATGAAAATGTACCATGGAATTTCTATAATCAATCAGATAATAACTATCTTTTCTTTTTGTAATTGTAAGACACAAATTACAGTGAGGAACTTTTAAAATCACTTAAAAAATAATACAAAGAAAAAAGCAAATTAAAATACCCAGCTCCAAAGACAATTAAAAAAGGTAGCTAATGTTTATTAAGCAAAGAAAACTTGTGACAATAAAATAGATGACAATTCAGACAACAATATAAAGAGTATAATAGCATTCAAAGAGTAGTGATTGATCCTTGAATGAGATAATCCACTTTCAGCTTGGAAGGGAGACTGGGATTATCCTATCTGCTTTTGCCATTATAGGAGCAAAGAGATTTCTTGAATCTTTTGACAACAACGAATAAAGATGATTTATATAGGGTGACAAAAATAATTACAATAGTTAAAGATTTTACTTGCATGTCTATTAAGGAGTTGTGATTTTAAACTTGTGAAACCTTTTAGAAAGTAAGTTTAAATTGAGCTGAAAGGAATTTTGTAAGTAAATGCTATTTTAAATTTAGCTAACCATATTCTAACAGCAATAAAATTCTAATAAAAGTAAATATTATGAACAAGATCAAATAAATTTCATATTCATTAAATATTCACCAATAATATGAAAAAAGAATTTAATTCCAAGACAGTTTAAAAATAATGTCTTTCAGGTCTCAGCACATTGTCTAGATTAAGCCTCATTTAAATCTAATTGTATACAACATTCATAAATTTCTGTTATTTGTTAAACAATGACTCTGGGTTGATTGTTATGCAAATCTTACTTGACCAGATTAAAGAGATTGGAAATTCACACAGTTAAACATCAAGGCAATTTTAAGGATGAACAGAACTTTAAACCCAATCATAATTGGCATTTGAGAGAAATCAAGAAGAATAAAGTAATTTTACATTCATATTGATATAAAATTTATAGTATCTTTTTTTTTTATTGATAAATTCTAATGTTTTTTTTTTCTTTTCTCCTCATGAGATTGATTGGCAGTTGAAATTTGAAAATTTGAAAGAAATTAATCAAAACTCAAAAGCTTTACATTTGAATGAGAGTAGAGGTAAAGTTGCCAATTGCTAATTTGAGAAAAATTATCAAATATTTTCATAACCAATTAAAGAACAAGAATCCTATTCAAACACATTAACTACTATATGAATCATCAAGCTGCAAAGATCTTTTCTTCTTATATCAAAACTGGTCTTCTTTACTAACAAAGATAAACACACTTCTTTCTTTATTCTTGTATTCTTTTATGACAAAACTATGAAGAAACCGAGATTGACTTAACTAAGAATTTCTTCAATAAATGAAAATAATTGTAACTTTGTTATAAATATTTGGTGAACAAGTTCATCCTTTCGCTGCCTATCTCATGCCAAAACGAAAGATGTAATTTTATCTTAAACTTTTATTAAAAGATGTTTCTGAATGTACAAGTTTAGACAATGATACCTACTGATGATTAGAGAATTTATGTAGAAAACCATTTTTGAAACAAACAATTATCTCAGAATATAACAAATACATAAAATAGAATTTTCCTTTAATTAAAATCTTAAAAGATTGAGCTTTGTTGTGAATAAAAAAGATTTAATCAACATGATAAAGTAAAATTCAGATTTGTTCTGGATTTTTCTAATGAGCATTAACACAATCTGCATCAATTCCAGTTTTTTGGCAAATTCTTACAAATATAAACCAAAGAAATTCTTAATCTAAATAAACCCAAAATAATAGCAATGGTTCCATTTTCTTTTAATTTTTTTTAAAAGTATAATCCATAAGATCTCCAAACTTTTAAGTACAAGAGCTACAATACATTTTACACATTTTCACAAGAAAAAAAGTCAGTTTTATAAATGAATGAATAAAACTTTAAGCGAATGAATAATTTTAGCTTGGATCTTTATTTTTTTTTTTCAATCAACCTGATATTATTTAAAACGAAAGAGAATTGTAACAATTATAAAGAAACAAAATGCTGTGACCAATGGAAATAATTTGGAGACACACTGATCTAAAACAAAGTATTTAAATAAATTATCAAAACTAATATTTCAAGATGTTGCTGACCAGATAAAATGTTGTGGCGAACCATGTGGCTCACTGTTGTAATCTATCTTCTTTAGAGAAAAGTATAAAATAATTAATCTCTAATTTTTACTCTATTAAGTTTTGCCAATAAATACACATACAAAAGAACTGTAGAGATTCCAGCAAATACAAATATTTGTTAAATGATTATCTGAAGCAATCTGCTATGTATTGGATGTCCACAGTAAGTAATCAATTATTATCGATTAAGTATAACAAAAACAAGTAAACTGTAAAAGATCCTTTAAAGAAAAAAGTGAGAGGATGCATCTTTACTCTCCTCTAATATAGACAAATGTTCAGTGTTTTTTGTTTTTGTTTTTTTTTTGGGGGGGGTATCTTCTTCAGTTTTTTTTTTTAACAACTTTTCTGTCAGTACAGATACACCAAACATTAGAGAATGAATAAAACTTAAGTATAATAGGTAAAAACAATAACAAAGATAATGACAATATAAAAAAAAAGCAAAAAAAAAATAAACATTGAATATAAACAGCAACTTGCCGCAAAATCTCAGACAAAACATTGCACTGAAATAATTTTAAAATAAAGTCTAAAGGAAGAAATCAGATTATGTTCATATTTCATGGACATGGCCTCTGAAAATTAAAGAATCGTTGTTTAATTTGCACCTTAAAATATTCTCCAAATATGACATCTCATCTTGAAAAAAAAAAAAAAAAAAAAGATTAAAAAAATATATACACAAAAGAGATGGTGAAAAGTTCTCAACTCAACCCACTTCCCAAAATCAATGTTCTGATACTTGATCATTGAAATGCTGATTTTGGGAAGTGAGTTGGGAGGGAAACTTTTCAGCACCCTACCCTGTATTCAAAAGTGGATTCTTTTCTGCCATGAAGATAAGCAGAACTGTTCAAGTTGAAAGAAACTGAAACAATTTGCAAAGAGGTGACTATATGAACAAGGCAATCAGAGGGGTGAGGAGTTGAAACATTGAGAGAAAATAAGAATTCTGGGGTGGGTCAGGAAACTAGAAAGAGTGGAATCAACTGGATAACCCCTGATCACTAAATGCTAAGAACAAATCATAAATATTTCAGACAAGTGTGCCTTCTGTTGCTAACCTTTCCTTGTCCTGTGCTAGTTATTCATGTCTCCTTCATTATTATTATTATTATTATTAAAGCCATTACATTGATGTATATATATATATATATATATATATATATATATATATACACACACACACGTATAGATAAAGATATATGCATCGATGTGAAACTGTGTGACGTTTGTGACAGGGTTGTTGTCATATTTAGATATATATATATATATATATATATATTTGGTTTTTTTTTTTTTTGTGTAGTTATTTGCCACCTTACCTTGACTGTACCATAATCAGCTATTTCTATTGGTTCAGGGACAGCGAGTGGAGCCTGGAGACGGCCACTAGTGGGCATGTTTCGGGCGTTGGTAATATTTCGTGTGATCACCTTCGCCACAGGTTCATATTGTTTCCTATTCAAAGGCTGAAGTTAACAAAACAGGAAGAACACAATAAACCAATGCAATCTGGGGTTAGAGAGGGCGGCGAAACAGCATCACAATGTTAATAAGAGTTAATTGAACAAAATAAAACAGCAGATGGACATCCACTAAGAATAGTAGTAGTAGTAGTAGTGGTGGTGGTGGTAGTAGTAGTAGTAGTAGTAGTAGCAGCGGTGATGGTGATAGTGGTGGTTGTAGTAGTAGTAGTAGTAGTAAAGAAGGACCCCTCTGTTGTTAACAGGGGTGATGATGGGTAGTGCTGCTAGTAGTGATGGTCATTTGGATTGTACCAGACATGAAGGGAGTCAGTTAAATAGAAAAGATAGCATGCAACATGTTTCCATAGCAACTGGCACAACAAGCTTGACATTATCTTCATCCTCCTCCCCATCATCATCAAAAGACATTTTAAAAACTTTAAAAAAAAAAAAAAATTAAGTGCAATAAATTAAGAAATAAATTGTCTACTTATAAAAGTACTTTACAAAAAAAAAAGAAAGAAAGAAATGTGCATGTATAATAAAATGATAGGAATATTCATGTCTTATTTTTGATTGATGAAGAACTCTAATAAAAAGAACCAATAGGGAGGGATATACAATGATCAAGAAGGAAGAAGAAGAAGAATAAAAAAAAAGATCCAATCAAAGGAGAGCAAATAAGTTCAGTGACATAAGCAGAGGATGGTGAAAAATAGAGAAAAAAAATGAAACTCCTTTGTATTCAGTTATGACAATGATGAACAAATAAAAAACAAGAAATTTGGATAATAATTATTTTGACTAATATAAAATCTGAATTGACAATTAACACAAGATCAATATAATTTGATATATATAATATCAAATAACAAGATCTTATGAACAGTAAAAATGTAATTGCAATTGGGAAATAAATGATCTAGGATTAGTTTCTAAACATTCATTTTTTTTTCAGTTAAAAAAAAAAAAAAAAAAAAGGAGATACCCAAGAGTTTTATATGAGACTTGAAAGAATCCTAGTTAATAAAAGTTAGTAACATTAAATTTTTTTCACAGAACTGTTTATTAAATAACTTGCTCTGTTTCAACTGTAATCAAATGTTAAAATTGAAGCACTTATTTGAAGTATGAAAACAGAAAAAGGGGAACAGTGATCAGAATATGTGATAATAAAAATTACTTTCAAAAATGTGTGTACTGAATATGCAAAAAATAAATAAACTTCAAAAATCTTCTATTTCTGACATCTTATTTTGTCTTTAACAAGGGACAATTCATCATTGAAAACCACTGAAAGATTATAAAATCTATTCGTTTTTCAGACAAAACAAAACAAATAAAAAAAATGATAGAATTATATTGCTGTAGAAAAAATAATATCAAACTTTAAAAATTCACTAAAATGTTTTAACATTGTGTTATTTAAATATCAAATCATAAAAGTCATGTTTTTTTTTTCTTCAGTTACACTTCAAACCTCCTGAACTTTGAGTTTCTCCTAATATTTCATTTTAGCAAACATGTTAAGACAAATTTACATTTGATAGTTCAATACTGGAATCTATAATTGCAACTTCTCACAAACATGCATACGCAGATTCAAAGTATATATCCATTTAGATTAATATTCATTTTAGAACATAATTTTAAAAACTATTACTGTATAATCTTAAGAATATATATATGGATGATTGAAATATAACAAGAATCTATTTAGTGTACCTACAAGCACCTCAAAGTGCATATTTATCCTCCCTCAAAAGAAGACACTGCAAAGGGGAAAAAACAACTCAGATTCTATACACATCAAAAAAAAAAAAAAAAAAATCTGAGATGGCTTCTATGTGCAAACAAGATGGACAGAAAAAATTCTCTAGGTACAGCAGCTTATTAATTTTTAAGAACATGTGACTATAGACAGGTATCAATACTGGCACACTTAGCATCCCAAGTTGAACAATGGATGAAATAGAATGTTCCAAAATTGATCAGGGTTTTCAGGGCAACCATGATTTACTCATGGTATCATGTACACCTGGATAGTTATCAATTTGCTAAGTAGATAAAATGCTGTGTCACTTACCTTAAAATAAATTAAAAAGTATAAATTCAAACCTAAAGCAGTGTCTCACTCCAATGGACTATACACTCACAAAAACACAAAATTAATAATTTCTGAAGTTTTTATATATATATATATATATATATATATATATAAAGTTTTCATTATTGTGATTGTTTTTGACAATTTTTTTTATGTGATATTTTGTGACAAATTTTTTTGTACGATAAGTTCTTATAACTTGGAAATAAATTTGGGAATAATTGAAATTAATTCCAAAATCCAGCGAAAGTCACCCATGAAATAAAAATAATTGTTTGTATGGAAAGTAAGGACCAATGTACATAAAATTGTCTTTAAATTAAGTGGCGGCAGAAAAATTATCACTCAACTTTTAAAAGGTAAGCTTAAATATTAATGCAATACTTAAATGCAGTGATCAATTTTGAGTTCTTCTGTAGTTTATTGTTGCCTATTGCTAAAAGAAATCTCTGCCAACAGAGGACAAGATTGCAATCAAAAGAGCCAATGCCACAAAAAAGAAAAGAAAGTCCCATGCAAATGAAAGCCCAAACAGCAGCCAGGAGAGGTTTCAATGTTGAGAATATCGAAGACTCTGAACAAGCCAAATGCCAAATTAAGAGCCCTTTGCAGGAGCTAGCTTAAAAATGCTGATATGATATTTTAATCTTATATATATATATATATATATATATATATATATATATATATATATATATATATATATATATATATATACACACACACACTTATCAATTGTAAAGAAAAGTTGATCTGTTTATTGAAAATAAACATGGAGTGCTCTTTTGTGAGTCAGTTTTATCATATTTCAAATTCTATGTTGTGTTAATCGGGCTCACCTGGATTATACCAATGGATTATTATTATTATTATATATATATATATATATATATATATATATATATATTACAATTATCAGATTTCAATCTGTGCCAGACAATGAAAAACAAAATATATATTTCTTATTAGCATAAATTTTAGCTCTGTTAGACATTGAGCAGTGTTTTATTAGCACCAGCACTCACCAGGCACTACTTATAGTTTTAAGGTATGCTATATTTATGGGCAAAAGTGCTAAATATTAGAGACAGAGCATATGTAAATATAAAAGGCCTGAAGATTACATTGAAGCATGAAACAGACTGTTGCAACTTGCTGTTGACCTCAGTGTCCATGTGTGTGTGTGTGTGTATAGAAATAATTTTATGGTTTTATTCAATTTTATGTCAAACAATAAGACATTAATAGTAGCCTTGCAGTCACTCATTTCTGTGTATGAATTCAATTGTTCTCTTTGGAATTGGTACAGATTTTTGTTTCTTTTTGGAGTTATCTTTAGAGCACTACTCCACATCTCCTCCACCCACTATTTATCATTTCTGTGTTATAGATAAAATAAATTGGATTTATATCTTTCCTAATGCACAATACTAATAACATTTTGATTATTCAGTATCTGTCTATATTTCTGAGATGAGGTATTATGTACATTATTTACATTATTCGGACTATTGTCCTCATCTTTGTCACCATATTTATTACAACATTTCAGACATTGTACGCTCTGGCCTTCTTCAAGGACACATGGCACAGTGGATAAAGGTGTTAGTTAGATCCAGTGACAGGACCCAAAGAGTGTGAGTTCAATACCCGGTCAAGGCAGTGGAGAACTTTCAGAGGGAAATTAACAGGAGATAACTGATAACTGACATCCATTAAACATGGCGACAAACATGAGGACAATAGTCCGAATAATGTAAATAATGTACTTTGATTATTGATTCCATTTTTAGAATTAGTACCAACTACAACTATCACATGTCGATTATCAAGTTGCAAGACTTTTAAAGCAAGTTTCTTATATTGATTACTTAGATACAAAGTATGCATTTTTATAGTCATACTAAGAAATTTAAAGTATAATAGTTAAAAGTTATCATGAAGCGGGATTATTATTCACTTTATTTTTAAGTGTTTTATTTGTTTGTGTTTTTTTGATAAGCTTCAAATTTTTTTAGCAGTGTTTTTTTTTATTAGTATTATTATTTTATGACTAGTTTGATTCCTTATTATTGCCTTTTATTCTAACCACATAGTAAAAAAGAGAGAAGTTGCAAAACAACAACAGTTTTGTCTTCTCCTTAGTCCTTGTTTCCATGGCCAAAGTGATTAAAGTGAGCTCCCAACTTGTGAGATTGCAAGTCTTGTTAGAAGCTACTAGTTTGTCTCTGAATTTCTGCTGTTTGCTCTCAAGGATAAAAAAAAGGTTAACAATCAATAGAGTCACTTTGTTAAAAACCAACAGTATTAAAATGTAGTAAAGCTAGTAATGAAAGAGTAAATGTTTTAAAATCAAATACATAACTATCAGAATATAAACTTAAAGGAACAAAACAGAAATACTTTCCTTCATGAGAACAATATTGAATACATGCATGTTACTTTATATACAAATAGATTATTTTATTACACTTGAGAATATTGTTCTTTGGGATTATAATCTATTGCAATGATTGCTATTCAAAACAGATATTTTGGGAGGTTTCTTTCTTATATCATGATAGGGATAGTCTTGAAATATAGACAGCTATATAAAAAAAAAAAAAAGGAAGAGTTAAAATTTCAATGTTTTAAAGTTCAATAGTGAACAAAATCAATTTTTTTTTTTTTTTTTTTGGTATTTATGCTTTTTAAAACAACAAAAATATCTTCCAAGAGCAATGATTTTTATAGATCCTGTAATTTTGAAATACATTAATATTAATTTTTTTAGACTACTGATTAAATTACATCCTCTCCATTCATTGAACTTTTCTCAGTTGCAGAAGAAGCAATACAAAAAGAAAACAGTTTCCATTTAGTGCCTATAAATCCTTTCCTTTTACTATCAAGAACA